TTCAAAAAATTATATGTGATTCTTAATGACTCAAAAAATTTTATTATAAAATAATATATAATATTAAAAATCCCAAAACATTTTTTACTTTACATAATCGTACTTCCTCGACGATTAATTTCCACTCAATTTCTATCGTTGACCGAACTTAGCATGCAACAGGATGAATTAAAATCTGGATGATTTAATGTTTCATTAAATAATGCCATAATTTTTTCTCTTTTTTCATTAATAAACTTAGTGATCATTGTATCTTTATCTGTTAGATCGATCAATTTGAGTATATCTGCATCATGAACTGGAATATTTTCGAACAATGAACTCGATTCTATGGAACCATATGGAGAAATCTCGTTCTGAGCCAAAGAAATCACTTACGTTGTATTGTTTGATAGAAAAAATTGTTTTCTCAAGTTCTTTTTGAAAGCAGTCAAGAATATAATTTTTGTAGCTATCGTGATAACGGTTTTTATATGGCGCTCGATCTTCTGGTTATTTTTGATGGCGTTATATTTATCTAATTGGATTTGAGATATCTTCTTAATAGCTTCATAAATGTTTGGATGTTTTAACGAAGAAAATTCTGAATGCATACTCTCGAGGCAATCATTAGTGAATATTGCAGTTGCATTATATATTGAGATATTAAATTGTAGTGCGGCAACCAAACTTTGTTGAAATAATCAATATAATCTTTGATCGAATCAACTTTATTTTGATTAATTATATGCATTGTAAGTACAAATTCTTCATGAGACATGAATGGAGTAATAGAATATAGCTTAAATAAAGAATTTTGTAAAGTATTGAAATTTTTTGTATAAAGTGCTACAAGTTTCCTGTGTAAAGCTTGTTTGAAATGAAATAGGCATCCAATTATACGGACTTTAGGGAAAATTTGTTGAAGTGCCTCTATCATTCCCTTTTCAAAATCACAATGAATTTGAATTAGCTTTGAAAATTGAATACCCTTGACAGTAAAAATATATTCAAATGCCTTCTTATAAGATTCAAATGTGCGGTTTTTCATGAATATAAATAAAAGTGGTAGATATTGATTTGTTGAAGGTTCACAAATCATAATTGTTAGCATCTGTCCTTTTTGAAAATGTTTTGGTGTAATTTTAAAAGTTCCATCGCAAAATAAATCTGTGGCTTCTTTTGCAAATTGAATTGCCTTCTCAAAACCAAAAAATCGTCTCACAATTTGCTTGAAAATCATGGCCAATGAAAAACTGCTCGCCATTTATTAAACAAAAATTAGCAATTTCATCGTCTGTAATTTTTTCTCCAACAGAAAATTTTCTGGACTTATTATAAACTTCCTGACCAATGAATCTTTAATTAATGGGTTTTCATCAGTACAACAGCAAGTTCTGTCATAAATTTTTTAATCTGCTGAAAAGTGCGTTGTCTTCAGAAAATTTTGCCATTGCCTTATTGTATATTTCTGTCAGAGTCATTGATTTATGAAGATCATTTTTTTCATTTTGTAACTTTTTAAATTGTCTGCATTCGGGTATATGTTCCTTTTGTAAATCTTCGGAAACTGAACTGTTCTCAATTTTAACTAAATAACGTGCTTGACAAGAATGATCGATGCAACGGTAGTAACGTTCAATATTATTTGAATTAATAATATTTGTATGATCATGCGAATAAAGCATATCTTTGCGAACAATTGTATCAGGATATTTTCCAGTAACTGCGGGAATATTTTTAACTGCAATATAACTAAAATATCTTCTGACAGCTTTAGATTCATTTTCGGCGTATTTAATATTAAAATATTGAAGAACTTGTTTGATTATATTCGTTTTTTCATCTCTCGATGTTGATTTTTGGTATTTATCAGATTGTTCCCTGATAAATATTTTATTTTCGTCTGTAAAGTTTGCTCTTTTTTGATTAAATATAGATGATTTTCCCATTAAAAAATGAAATGATGCAAAATTTACGAAAACCGTTCGAAAATTGAATCAAAAATGAAAAGTAATACTTAAATGAGGAATTCTTTGAGATATTGGTCTTAGATTGAATGTAGCGTCATTCTTATATAGAATATATATTCATATCATCGGAAATATGATAAAAAGCATATAATAAATGTCAAAAAAGTGAACAAATAAGCAAAGATATTTTTTAAAAAACAATGAAAGTAATACTTAAATGAGGAATTCTTTGAGATATTGGTCTTAGATTGAATGTAGCGTCATTCTTATATAGAATATATTTCATATCATCGGAAATATGATAAAAGCATATAATAAATGTCAAAAAAGTGAACAAATAAGCAAATATTTTTTAAAAAACAATGAAAAGTAATACTTAAATGAGGAATTCTTTGAGATATTGGTCTTAGATTGAATGTAGCGTCACAAATTTCACAAATATAATTTACTATACAATTTTATTCGTTTTTTAAAATGGCTGACGACAGTCTGTATCAACTAACTCAACTAGTCAAGCATAATGATTATTCTTTCGGATTCATTAAATCAATTTATCAATGCATAAGTACAATGACAGAAAGATCAATTGGATGCTTGAATTGGGATAAATTTTTCAAAAAATCACAATGACTGATGAAGTTCTTTTACATTTTTTAGCATCCGTTTTAAACATTGAAAAGATATCAGAATGTTTCAAGGATTCTATTTTTTATCAAATATTAATCTTGAAAAATTCGTAATTTAACTGAAACAGAACAACAAACAATTTTAAATTCCTACAAAGCGGATAAATTTACATATTACATAATGTGCTCACAAATTGTAAAATCAAACTGGAACAATTTATCCCAAACTTTAGTTAATATTGCAAATCAATATTTGCCATTTTTAGATGAAGAAAAGCAAATATATATATTTACTGAAATAACTGGCAATTATCAAAATTTTGAAATTTCAGTTGCAAACTTGTTACTTTTTTATGAAAACAATGAAGAAAAATTAAGCAACTGTTTTAATTTAACATTGTTCCAGCAAATTTATTCCAAAAATGGAATCGAGCAAATGATATTTTTTGCTGCAAATACAATTTGTTGCAATAACACTTCTATCAATTTTTACAATCTCCTTGAAATTGAAGAAATGAATCCATTTGATTTTTTTTATTTCTCAATTCAATATAAAGAGATATTAAATTGCGATGATTTTCCAAAAGTTACAGAAGTAATCACAGGTTTAATCTCAGCTTCAAATATTAATGCTATTATGCGAATTTGCCAAAAAATTTTGGATAAAATTACATTTTATAAATGTAATTATTGCCATATTACCTCAATATGGAATTTTATCACAAATGCAGCAATAATTCTTCCTGATGAAGATTTATTAATCAAATTATTAAAATTCATAGAAAAAACAGAAAAAGCAACAGATGAATTATTCGAACCGGAGAATGATTTGGGTTTCTATGAATATTTAAATTCGATTTTCTCAGATATTACATCTGCGAGAAATAAGCAATTTCTCTTGGAATTTCTAAATACCCATGAAGATGACTTCACTTATGATCAAACATTGTGAGGTCATTTTTGATCAACAAATTAATTGAAATTCCGATCAAAAAAAAATTCACAAATTGGATCAAAAAAATCGAATCTCAAGTAAAAATAAAAAATTTCTACATTTTTATCAAATTTAGATTTTTTTTTTCAAATCATGCGAATTGATTGAATAATTGCATATTTTATCCCATGCATCTAGAAGTATGTGTAATATTTTTGCTTTCATCAAGAAATTGTCGAATTTGATCTTAATTTTTTTTGAAAAATATACTTTTAGAAAAAGAAATAGTGATTGAATAGCTGCCCATGCTGTAAAAGGGTTATTTTTACAAGTAAAAAAATTGTTATTTTTCGAGCAAGTCGAGGCTTTTTTACCATCTTATTTTTGAAAAATTTACGAAAAATTATATCTGAAAAAACGCTTCATTTTGATATCTTACAATGATAAAATACCAATGTTGCTGGGATATAATAGCTACACCTGGACATCTACTACATTAATGCGTATGACAGGTAAAGTTGATTTCAAAAGTATAGCCTGGAAAGATTACAATAAATCAACGATAATTCAAAAAATTTTCTTATAAGTTAACATAATAAAAATTTAATTTTTATATTGCTTGTATTATACTTAAGTATATAATATATTTAAATCTTAGAATGAAAATTCGGGACGCCCTAGCTATTCAATTTTCCCTTAGGACGCCCATAAACCTCTCAAAAATGTGATGTAAATATCACAATTTTGAGAAATTTACACTAGGACGCCTTAGGACGCCAACCCCCTTTTTTACCGTGAGACTACCTTTAAATTGACAAATAAAAATAATTTGAATCAAACAGAAATGGATCGTAAGTTGATATTTAGAAATAGCATCTAATGTAGATAATATTTTCAACAAAATCTGAATTTCCCCTAGCATTTCATTTCACATCTTGAAATTGAATAAATCCGGAAAATCATTTTGATTTTGTTTCAAAGATGAAGCGCTTAATCAATTATTTTAATAATGGTATAAAATTAGTTTTCATTTTTATTCCCGTCTTCTATTCAATTTTAGATTCAATTTTTATGAATCCGCGGAATATATAATAAAAATTCCGGAATCACTAACAAAGCTGCTTGTCAAGGAGATATTTGGCTCCTTGATGTAAGCTTTGGACACATAACGTATTCTTCAGGATTTTAATGGATAATAGCCTATCAAAAATTTCGATTTAACCTTGGGCAAAATCATTCCCTAAACAAGCTCACACTCTAGGTTGTAATAGCAATGGCTCCATTAGATTTTGAATTCTATCAACTTCCCAAAAATAAGGAAATAGAGAATGTGAGAGAAATCAAGATTTTAAGATTTTAATCCCCTATTATGTGTATACTGATGATTGACGATCTAATTTTCCACAAGATCTTTTGATTTGATGGTTAAAAAAAAATTGTAAAAATTTTGTTTGAATTCAATAGTCTTGTTTTGAGAAAAATCGATTTTTACTTGAGGGATGTAGCAGAAGAAGAACGTGTAGCACCGACACCAGCCTTAGAGTGCTTAACGACCTTCTTGGATGGGGCGAAATCAGCAAGAACGTGGCCGATCATTTCTGGCTTGATTTGAACTTCGAAGAAAACGTGGCCATCATAGATGCCGATAACGTTATCAACGAACTCTGGAAGGATAACCATATGGCGAAGGTGTGTCTTGACAACTGGTGGACGAACACCAGCCTGGCCCTCAACAGCCTGACGAGCCTTCTTCAGCTTTTCGATAAGGTGAACGTGCTTAAGATCGAATGAGCGGGAGATGAAACGGCGGCGCTTTGTTGGGAGAAGTTCAACAAAGTCCTTAAGCTCCATGGCACGGAGGTCATCGAGTGTCTTGCCGCGGTATGTATAGTTACGCTGTGCGAACTTGCCAGATGCAGACATAATCGCAAAAAGGAAGGCCAAAACCGTTCATCAAGCGGTTTTGTAAAATTTTGTTTCTAAAATTGAGAGCATTTGTAAACTCGTATCTTTCTTTTTCCAATGACTAAATTTTAAATCCGATTTTTAATGTGAAAAAATCGATGCTCGTATTATTTTAATACATAATTTAACTTCAAAATCATGCGTCGGCTCTGAAATTTTCCTTCCAAATTCACGAAAGTTGTTATTTTCAAAATTACTGATAAATATATGCATTCTATTTGAATTCAAATTAAATCATATTAATGGCAATACGAATTGTTTATTGATATTTTATTTCATACATAAGTTTGTTCTTGTGGTCGAAAAACAGAGCTGGATTAATGAATTGTCCTTAAGAAGTATCATTGCCACTTGTTGTTGACCTTTAGCATTATCAATAAGATAAATTTAGAAATAATGGTGTGAATCATTGAAAAATAAAGATTATTTTAAACTAAGGTATAGAGCTTTCTCGTTTATTGTTTGGAATAAGCATAAGTTAAATAATTATGCTTGAAGATATAATGTCTGATAAGTCAAGAAAATGAAGTAACTTATTGATATATATTTTATGGGTAATCATTGGTTGAAAAGATATGATCCTCAAAAATGAAATAAAAAATAAGAGATAAAAATCTCTTAAAAAGAGCATGCACTTATAGTTTAATGATCACAAATTATCACTCTGCATCTTCCTCCTCTATTTCGTACTCTTCTTCTTCATAATCGTCCATTTGGATCATTCCCTTGTCGGCAAAGACACCTGAAATTTCGACATCGCCATTACCTTCGACAATTACAAATGGAGACATGCAATATGGAAGGTATTGTTCAACTTCTTTTTCTTCATTAACTTTTGTCAAAGTAATAAGTTCGTCCTTCCTTGTTTGTAGCTTAGCATCTTCAGCAGGAGCTTCATCTTTGAAATCCTTAATCTTCAAGAATACCTTTACAGGTTTATTATCTTTGCAATTGAGCAATTTAACACTTGTAAGGAGACAATCGTCACCCTCTTGTTCGTACTTAAGTTCCTGTGTAGTATTTGCTTTGACAGTAAACTTGAAGGATGTGAATTGACCCTCCTCTTCCTCAGCCATTATAAAATAATAATCAAAATATCATCCGTATAAACTACACAAATCTTTTGAATTTTATAATGCGAGACGGAAATATTTTAAATCATAAAAGACAAAAGCATTAAACACATTTGACAATATATTAGAGAGAGATAAAAATACAGTTTTACTCTATTAAACAAACATAAACAAAAAGATTAAAGCATTTTATAAGGATCAGATTCGGCAGTCAATGCATAGACATCCATTCCCCAAAATGCAGGTATAGGTAGAATCCATAAGAACCAGCTATCCCTTGGTCCGCATACTTCTTCGAAATTGTTACAGCATCCATCATGGAAACTAGTGTCTGAAATCTTGTTTATTATTTCGTAGTTTGTAGTTCCTCGCATTGTATTATACATAGAATCAAAGAAGAAAATACACGTTAAAATTGAAAATACAAAACCCATTAAAAGGTAAATAATAGTAATAATAACATATATTGGATTAACCATAGCTTCTACTAAATTTATCATTGCCATTACTTGAAAAACACTGAAGGTTGTAATGTAAAGAAATCCATACATATTGAAAAGCAAAAAGAATTTGTAATTTAGCTTTCCTATGAATACAGTAAACCATATGCATAAATGGTCTGGACGGATAGCAATGCGTCTTGCATCTGAAACGTAATGACAATATGCTGGATATTTATGGCTCTTGATGTACTTTTTTTGCTCGATGGTTGTAACAAATTCACTTAAATAATCAGGCTCTTTTCCATTAAATTTGTTATATCTTCGTGGATAATAGTATGGGATGTATCCTGGTCCAACAAGAACACCAAGTATGTAACAGGATAGGAACAGTAATACTAGAATTGTCATAACTATTTGATAATATATATTTAATTCTAAAAAATAGCAATCGATTTGAATAAATATTAAATACGATGATATGATGATTAATAGTACTGCTACGGGGAATCCAAAATTGATATCCCAGCCATTTAAAAAGTATTTTTTGATGGCCGGTAAATAATCTAAGTGAAAACAAAGGAAAGAGCATTTCCTATTCCACTGCGTTACCTCAGGAATGCCAAACAATTCATCACTGATAAAATCTTCATTCTGGTTATCCATGAAAAATCGGAAATGAAGATTTTATTTGAAAACTGTCACCTGAGATAAAAGGTGAAGATTGTGTAATCATCAAATTACGAATGAATTGGTAAACTGATATGTGTGCATCATATAATAGTCCTACATTGGTCAGTATTATCTAATTCTAAATCAAAATAATTTTAATAAGCAGTATATTTGAAGAATTCTGCACCGATAATGCTCTTATTACGGCCCAATTTTATTGTGGCAAAGAGTGATAACATATTTTTTAGATGAACCTTAATTCAAAATCAAAATTAAGCTAATATCTAAACTAATGATGTTTTTTGAGAAAAAGCGTGGAATTTATGCAGAAAGGAAAGAATGGTATTACTCAAAATGGATTCTAAAAAAAGAATGTAATATAACGGTTTTGCAATAAAGCAAAATTAATAAAAAGTTTATGCAACAATATGAAATTATTCGGCTTTGGTATCTTCTAGGACTACATAAGCTAAATATGGCTGGATTGCATGCCAATTCTCTTCAAACCATTTAATTAAAACAGATTTTCTTCGCTTAGCATCGCGATCGAGTTTAATATTTGCACTTTGCGCCAGAACATTCGCAATGCTCAAAAGTTCTGGCTGTTTAATATTAGCGCCAAATCTCTGGGTAATTTCGTGCCAAACAGCATTATCTTTGGGATTAAATGTTCCTAACCTTTCAGCAATTCTCTCCTTTTCTTTTGTAACGTGGTTTTCAGGTTGATTAAAAAGCTTTGAAGTATCTCCAGAAATTTGTTGTAGGTAATCAGATATTACGGCCAGACTTTGGCTATTTGCGTCTGGTTTCTGTTCTTCCATTGGTTGTGCGGGGGCGGATGTTTGCTGTGTAATTTTGGTAATCTGTGTCAAATGGTCAAAAAATTGACAACCGTCACTTTTGTAAAAATGGTATGCATAAATTATTGACAGAACGTTGCGCGTCAAATTCTGATTTATCATAGAATGATAACTCGCTTGAAAATTGGCGTATAAGAGCAAAGTTAGCGGCATTCAATTGAAAAATTCATGACATTTCAGATTTGAATTTTGCGATATTTCCCATTGTAACTAAATTTATTATAATATCTATGGAAATAATTGAAACAACGGAAATTTGTAAAGTGTTAAGATTTGAGATCCTGAAGTCTACATGAAGTGTCTTGTATGGATTATGCTTGTTCTAGAAGTATCGGATCAAGTTGGCATTCGATTCTTTCATGAAGTCTATGCGACAGCTATAATTTGATTTGAATTTGTCTCAGATATTGTAATTAAAGGATGGAAATCCAAGTTATGAATTTTTGCGTTTGATGTATGAAATTATTTGTCTCACTCCATAGATTTCAAGTAAATTGAATTCAAATACAATTGAACTGAAAAATTTGGACTTCAACAATGAAACCTTTTGTTTTCAATCTCACTTCTATCTCAATACAGAACCTGAAAAAGAATTGTTGAAAAATATTAGAAAACTAAAATATTGAAGATGAATTCCCCTATATCAATCATGATTCAATAATAAAAATATAAATTAACATAAATCAGCTATAAATAAACTATCTTTGGTCAATATTGACTGGAAAATTCAAAGGTGACCAAACTATTTTTTGAAAGTCCGCCATAACTTTAATGGTACTATTTCAGCGTGTACAATGAATACAAAAATTCTAAGAGTGCCACATAAAATAGTACTTTAGACTTGAGTTAATGCTACTAAGCAAATGTTAAAAAGATGACTTTAGTGTTTTGATAATCAAAGATTAAAATCATTATTGTCTAAATCAATAATCATAACGACAGAAGTTAATGTTTTTTCATCAGTGCTTTAAATCCACTTTTAAAAGTATACCTCAAAAATCAAAATATCAAAAAAAAATTGGCCGATAGGTTTGGCTTTAATTTTTGTCTGCTTTTATGATTTGATATGGATGTTATAATTTTAAAAGTTGAGCCAAATTCACCAATAGATTTTTGAGATTTGCAAATACTCAATAATTTTCAGCGTGTTATCTTTTATTAAAAGAACTATTTGGTTTCAGTATCATATAAATTGATATTTACTTTCTATTTGAACCTTCATTTAGCTAATGATTTAATAATACAGATTTCATCTAATCCTTATAAGAGAATTTTGAATTTGTTATAATAAAAAAACAAACAGATATAGCTTACACTTCTATAATAAAGATACCTTTTATAGAAATCAGTATGAAATGTGTTTTTTGACACGTAAAGCTCTCAATTCATTATAACATGTTTGTCGATTTTTATATATTTTTCGCTTTCATTATCTATGATATTAAAAATTATGTCATCAGAATGTGAAATAATTAAACAAATGCCCTACGGGAAGTATTTTAAAAATTGATTGTAATTATAGTTAGATTAACCATCATCACTTGCAAACTGAACTAATTTACTACTTCTCCAATTAACACTCATGAACAATGTTTTTTTTAAAAAAATATAATTTTTTATTCTAAATTTTACATTAACATGTCATTTATTATGATCTCATAAAACATATCCATATATTATAGTTACAGTAATATTAAAATTTCAAATTTTGAATTAATTTGGTTATATTATGACCATTAAGCCAAGATCCCAACTTCTCTATGCTATCTATGAATTTCAACTCTATATGTAACTAACACGTTATAAGTTTTGTTTATAAATATAAGGTGCATTTCAGTAAATTACTCTTTGATAATAGTTCTTTTATTACAGCTATAAAATCTATACTAAATCTATATGTTTTTATACTAAATTTATTAATTGTAATACTAATTTTAATTGTTGCTGATCATATGCTAAATTTTATATGAAATTCTTAATTAGAAACTTGAGTTGAATATATATTATATGAAACAATCGGTGTTTAAAACAAAATACAGCTTGATTTATTTATTTAAATATATTATATTGGCAACCTTTCTTTACCCTGTCCGAAAAACGCATTTTGTAAAAAATATAGTGCATCAGTTTCGAACTAGCGTCCCCGGTACCCAATAGTAAGGGGTAATAACCATTCGACCATTTGCCACGTAAAGCATCGCCAGATTTTTTTGTATTTAATCACTCTCAAAACACTGTTTTGGCTTATTGGAAGCATATCAGACATAATCGCCTTAATCAAAAAATCTATATACCCAATAAGTAATAAATTTGTCGATATAGATTTTCCATAAAATTAGTTTTTAGTCTGATCTTAAAATAAATTTAATTTTTTATAAAAAAAATCACATTTAAAAGTACCTTTTTAGTAGCTCGAAATCCTGTTGGTGGATTTCGGGCGTACTTCAAAATTAGCTTTTCTTCTACATATGCAAGCTATATTTTAAATATGGAGCAAATCGGATCGGCGAAAGGAGTTTAGTTACCTTTGAAAATTCAGCAAAAAAATGTGGAATACGCATAATTATGAAAAATTATGAATGTCTTTATGTTTTAAATAGGGCTGTACAAGATTTAAAAAAACATTGCCGGGTTACCGTAGAGGCCTAAAAAAATCGCGCCTCGGCGGCAAGCCGCCTCGGCATTAAGAATGCGCATCTAAATTTTTATATGTCCTTCTTTCTTTTATTTTTCCCTTCCCTTTCTTTTCTTTTTCTTTTTTTTTCCCTCCTCTTGCTCTCATTTACCTTTTTTTTCCTTTTCTCATCATTTTTCAAAATTTTAAATTTTTATCAAAAATCTTGCCTATAAAAGCAGACTATGGAACCTTTTAATGCCTCTTAATCAATATTATACAGCATAAAGCATATTAAATGAAAGTAATTACGTATAAATTTATTTTATTATCTTATTTATTAATTCTTTAGCATGTATTGTTTAATATTAACTTTTCTGTACATTAAATATGATATCTCCAAAGTATGAATGCCTTGTAACGAAACGAAAACTTAATTTTATGTTGAATATTTGTCACAAACATTAGATTATTAAAATATATGTTGGATATCCCTTAGTATGAGACTTCATGACTCTTGTAGTCTAACGTGAGCTTTGGATTGCAAGCTCTGTGGTTAACGAACATAAATTAATTGTAAAGTTTTCAAAAATTTTCATCGTTTCTATCAGCATCTATTTTTCCTTTAAAATAATATATTTGTATGAATACAATATTTAGTAATTTTTTTATTTCCCATAATTTCATTCAAAATTTCAGAAAAAATTAATTTCTATTCAATATTATTTCAGCTTCAAAACACTTCATTCTTATAGATGTTGATTCACTAAAGTGTGATACTCAATGTCTTATTTCAATGAAAATTGTTCTGCAAATTTATTTCACTTTTGACCTCACTTTTTCCGTAATTCAATTTTTTACTTTTAATATTTTAGATCTTCATAATATCATTTGAAAAATTAACCATATAAAAAAATCAAGTTAACAATTCACTTTTTCCGTAATTCAAAAATCAAAAATATAAATAATATATCTTTTTATCAAATATTATTATTATATTCTATGAAAAATGAGGTCCGGAAATTTTGCGGATTCCCGTAACTCAATTTTACGGAAAAAGTGCAGTAAACTATTCAAAATACGGAAAAATTGGTGTAAACTAATGATTTTACGGTAAAATCACGGAAAGTCCCGGAAGAATATATGTGCCTATATGAAATTATACAAAAATGAATCAAACGCATTTTAAAAGATTGTTCTTGTATTATAAATGCTATTCGCAGATTTATTAGTTGAAGAAAATTACCAAATTTTTGCCGATTTACAAAAAATGATTTACAAAGCATATTTTTATAAGGCTTTAAAAATCTTTAAAATGTGACCGGTGACGGAAATCCATGGTAACCAACCGCGGTTCCCGTTTGGAATGCCATAGTTTTAAAATATAAATACAACTATTATATACCTTAATTCCTAAATCAGATTTTCAAAAAAAAATTGAAAAAATTCTATTTCAAGGAAAGAAATATAAATTTCTGATTGAAAATGTGAAAATATAAAAAATTTGGAATTAGAAACATGATTTATAATTCAAATATATTCTAAGTTATTCCTTTTCTCCTTCTTAAATTTCACAAATATTTGAATAAAATTTTTTCCACTAAAATTACTGATTTCAATATATAAATTGTAGTATCTTACTCTAATATATGCTTTAACATATATTTGTTGGATCATTAGAACTCTTTTATTCAAAAGTCATTAATTTGAACAGAGGAGTATTTTGATTGGCACAGTTTTGTATACTCCCATTTATATGGAAAATTACAATGAAAAAACAGAAAACTCATTTAGTAAAATTTTGGCTGAATAATGTTTGACTTTTATAAAGAATATGAGTTTACGAATTCCAAAGAATCAGATGACAAAGACGATAAGAATGATTATATTGAAACGCTTCAGGCAATTATCACTGAATTATTCAATAGATTCAATTCGAATGCACCAGTCAATGAATTTCTTCCAGTTTTATTGGATTTAAAAGAATTTTTCAAAGAAAACCAATCAAATGACATGAGGATAATCATTGCCGAAGCCAAATTATTTCAATTTTTAGAAGAATGTTATATTAAGTATGGACAACAAGGAAATGAAGCTAAAGAACTTATACTACGAACAATAGTAACTGCCACAGCCAATCTTTACGAGGATTTAGACTTTTTCAAAAATTCCAAATTTTTCACCATTACAAAAAACGATTTATTCATTCCACAATTTACACATCTTATAATAAATGCCTACTCAAACATAATTTCAAGCCAAGATTTCTGCTCAAATAAATTTTTTGCTCTTATTCACTCTTTAAAGTTGACAATTCCCGATTTAACATCGCAAAATCTTCAAAACATATTAGTTATAAAAAGTATTATACAACTTTGCATCTCTTTATCATCACATGTTCGAATATTACAAGAATGTACTGAAATTGTCAGTGCAATGGAGGTTATTTTAAACAATAACTTCCCAGAACAGATAATCACAAACTGTCTTTACGTTATTTCCTCGATTTTAAGAGATTCTGCAAGTTTTTGCGATAATTTTGCATCAAATAATGAAAAAATCGAATTTTTCATTAGTTTACTACATAATGATAATAATCAGATCGTAAATTACGCATTATTGATTATAAAATACATTTGTATTTCAGATCAATGCAAATTTGATTTTCATCTCGATCAATTTTCGTTTTTATTGACGAATGATGATCATAATGTTCAGAGAGACTTATCTTTATGTATAGGAGCAGTTCTGATCAACAGTAGATTGATTTTCATGAAAGATCAAGATATTTCAAATTTATTTGCAGAAGTTTTTAATTTTCTCCAAGAATGCAACTATATATGCAAAGTACAGATCATGAAATCAATCAGATACCTTCTAGACAACGGAACAAATGCTCAAATTTTGCAATGGATGAATTCAGGATTGCAACAGTTCCTTCCATTGTTTATTGAACTTGACCATGATAATGAATCCCTTGTATTTCTTCAAATCATGATTAAAATCCTTCAGACAGTTGAAAATTTAGAATTAGAACAATCATTAGAATTTTTACGTTATCTTGAAGAAATAGAATTACCAGAGAAGCTAGATGAACTGATGGAATCAAGTAACAACGCTGTTCTCACTAAAACTGAAATAGTTTTGGGACAAATTCATAATATCGAAATGAGACAAGAAGCTGCTGAAAAGGGATTAGCTCTTTAGCTAAATTAAGTATTATATTATTGTTTGTTTTGTATAAAAATTGAATTTTGTTTTAATTCTTACATTTTTATCATTCATAATCTCTTTATAATAGAACCAATAACTTGAATTAACATTTTTATCATATTCACTACAATATCTTCCTTTAAAAAGGATATTTATGCAAAAAAAATTATATTTCCTTCAATATAACATAGATGAATAGAAACATTATAAATTTTGGCTTTAGTAGTGCAGAAATATTAAGAAAATGGCTCATTTTAATGGATGAAGATTATAAAGTTGATACTGACCAAGACGAAAACAGGACAAAAGCATATAAAAATGATGGCAACAATGTGGAGGAAGAAGATGTTGAAGGATATATTGATCAATTAAAAGAAAAATTCTATAATTCAACAGATAATTTAATAATACAAATCGGCAATTTATTAAATACAATACAATCTAGCACTACATTCAAAAACATGAGTGAACCATCAGCAAAAATACTATTTGATATTATAACAAATATTATTCAAAATGGATCTTCGCCAGATTTGGTTAAATTATCATTTAATATATTGAAGCGCATTTCAGATATATATTACGAGGAGTTTATTGAAGATTTAGTTGAAGATACTGATTTTATCAAACATATTGTAGAATTATATACGAATTTCATTAATATTTCACCAGACATCATAGAGTTTATAGTGAATACAAGCCAATATGGTATGGAAAACTTCATGAAATACGTTGATTGGGATTGTTTTAAAGAAAGATTTTCAGAAAATTATCAAGAAGTCGAGAATTTACAAAATAACGAAGCACTACTTTTATATAAGATAGCTAAAAATCACTTTGAATGGTACGAATTCCCTGATTTTGGAGAATTATTGATTGAAATCATTTTCTCGCATTATTTTACTTTATCTATGGAAACACGTCATCACTTGATCAAGTGTTTTAAGTATTTGAAGAAAATCAGCCGCGATAAATGGAAAAAACTTGTTATTGAGAGTAATTCACCAATAAGAGCCTGGGAAATGCTTAGATCTGATAATTGTCCGGTTGTTGCAGTACTTGAACTACTTAAAAAGATATCTTCTCTCTGTGGAAAAGAAATGATTTTAGATTACGATATTTTATTCGGTATTTTGAATTCTGATATATCATATATTCAAGTCGCAGCTCTTAGAATGCTTAGAACATATGTTTATTCGTGTAGAGATGTTATTTTAGATAGAAGAGAAGAATTATATCAAATTTTGACAACAATTGTTCAAATTGGAGGTTTTCAAGCTAAGTCATGGGCTGTAAAGGTAATATGTCAGATTGCAGAGAACGGAAGAGGTCAAGAAAACAGAGAAATTTGGAATCTTGGAATTCTCGACTTATTTATGGAAGACATGGGAGAATATCCACTGGATGTGCAGTTTTCAGTTCTTTGTCTATTACAAAACTTCGTTGATTTCGGATTTTTAACTGAAGAAACAGCAAATGAAAATTTTGTTGACCAAATGAACGAATATCTTCAGAGTGATAACATTTCTGAATCAGCTGAAGCATATGCAAATAACATAATGAAATCAATTTTCGGATATTCAGATTATTCTGATTATGATTGAATTTTTTATTGCTAATATTGATATTCAATCATATTTCCAATACTACCTCATGGAATTACTAGATATACCACCTAAAATCCATGAATCAAAAAAATATTTTTGAGATCTTTGGAAAAAGCAGCCAACACAAGATTGTTACCGAAATATATCATGTTGTATATCTATCAATTGATATACTTTCTTAATATTAATAGTTTTTGTTTAATTTCATTGAATTTTGGAGATAATTAGTGCTATTTACAAACTTTATAGAGATATTTGACTTATTATCCTATAAAAACCATTTTGTTTTCTATGTTCTATCCTTAAATAACATATTTTTTAGAAATTCCTCTCAAATATGTTTATTTTGATGGTAACATCGAATTTAAACTGGAAAGAATATATGATAAAGTTTTCTTCTATGAATTGTAATATTCATTGAAAAGAAATCCTAAATAAAAAAATATATTTTTCAATTGAATAAATTAAACACATTTTTACTCTATTAATCAGAATTTAGGATCTTATTTCTTATTAATATCAAGTCGTATGCCTTTGTTCTGACATCATCATTTACATTCAAATCTCCGTCTTCGTTTATTTGCAAAAGTGCATCGTAAAGGTCATCGTCTACTATCTGCTCTATAAATTTCTCGTTATTCAAATAAGATCCATTTTTCAGAGCCGCTGAAACTAAAGCGAAAATTAAATCAAGTAAAGGCTCGATTATATTCTCATCTTCAAAATAATCAATTGTTTTCAGGATGAGTTCGTTGTCAATCAAAAAATTAAAAATTTCATCGCTAAGTCTTGAACGAATACATACTTGTTTGAGGAGAAGCATTGCATCTTTCTTGATTGAATACTCAAAGTTGTCATAATTCCCAAAAATAAAGGCAGGAATTGGAGATTGAAAGAATTTCACATGAAAAGCGGAAGAATTCTCAAGTAAAGCAGTGGAAATGCCAAATACCATCTTGAAATACGATGAGTTACCTGGAGTTGCTAAATAAGTAAGAATTTCTATTATATTTGAATTTGATATTTGATTCATAGTAATTGCTGATCTAATTCCATCTTCACAGCCAACGAGATTATATATTATGCTAATTATGACTTTTCCTGCTGTTGGATCGTCACTTGAAAAGGAAGATATGATTTTTTCAACAAATTCTGTTTGAGAGAATGAATCTAGCCAATCAGGATTCTTACAGTTCATAATTGTATTGTTAACAAAATAAAGTATTGTTAAGTATATATGAGAATCACCAATAACAAAAAATTGCTCAATATATGGAAGCAAATTTGGTAATTCATTGGTTAAAACTGGATTTAATTTATACAATTTGTTATATATATCTAATAAACATGCGATATCTTCTCTCTCTGGTGAGTTTGTGATTCTATCAATCAAATGTTGGGCAAAATCATCATTAATTAGATTTCTTGTTTCTGTTGCTGAAAGTATTACTTTTGTAAATATATTTCTCTTCTGCTTTGTCATTGGAGTATCAAGAATTGAAGATAAAATTCCTAAAATTTCTTCAATATTATATAAACTTTGTATCTTTGTCGGTGACGTATCTATGATTTTGTGTACACATTTTGATGCAATGCCTGATAATTCTTCATCTCCAGAAACTATTGCTTGAAATGCGTTATCAAAAAAATCTCTGTCGAAATCTGTTGTAACTTCTAATAATCGGTCTATTTGTTCATATCCAGTAATTTTATCATCAATTATTTTTGATTTAATCTGTATTAATGATTGTTTAATAATATTTTTGTAAGTTTCAGGTGATAAATTCATATGGGCAAGAATTTCATCTGTTATAATCCCAGTTTGTGCAAGATTTTGACGTAGCCTCACTTTTTCTTCAATGCTAGAATCCTCTTTGAACTCCTCATCCATAATATTGAAAAATCACACCTAAATATAACAATTTTGATTGAAGTCAACTATTCCTATCTTAAAAATGTCCTGATAAAATTGAAATTGGAGAAAAATAATATGCAAATTTCAACGAAATGGGATTTCGGTATTGAAAAATTATTTAAAAACATAGTTAGTATAAAAATATAAAATTAGTGTTTATAAGAAAAATGATCATTTAAAATTTAAAATAGCATATCAAGATCAATTAACTTCATGACTTTCTTTGCTGCTCCTTGCTCTGGTTCTTTTGATGGTGTTGTTGTGGCCGTGTAAACTTTGGTTATTGATGTATCTGTTATTGGTTTGAATGAATTTGTTGATGTTGTAAATCTTTGAATTGTTGAACCTGATTGTGGATCTGTATTTGATGTATTGGTTGAAGATGATGATGTAGATGTAATAACTCTTGAAGAGGATCCTGGTTGAGAAGTATTTGATGAATATGTTGTTGATGTTACAAGTCTTGTCGAAGATTGATTTGAATTTGGTGGAGATGAAGTTATGATTCTGGTTGAAGATTGTGATCCTGTTCCTTGTGATGATGATGTTGATGTTGTTGTAATTCTTGCTGGAGATTGATTGGAAGTTGATGATGCTGTTGAAGTAATAACTCTTGTTGAAGATTGGCTTCCACCTGCTGGAGATGATGTTGATGTAATCACTCTTGCTGATGATTGATTCGAGTTGAGTGGAGAAGATTTCGATGAAATAACTCTTGTTGAAGATTGAGTAGAGCTAATCGGAGAAGATGTTGAAGAAATGACTCTTGTTGAAGATTGGTTTGAATTAAGTGGTGAAGATGTTGATGTAATGACTCTTGTTGATGATCCAGATTGATTGTTACTTGAGTTGCTGTTGTTATTCAAGGTTGATGTTGTTCTAAATGATGAAGATTGAGATGAATTCAAAACATTTGAATTCGATGATGTTCCAGCAGTTCCTGATCTTGTGATCGATGTTGATGATGAAACACTTGAAATTTGTGATCTTGCTGGGGAAGCAGATGTTGAAGATGTTGTTGTAGAACGTGCTGAGAATGAAATTGCACGACTTGATGTTGTTCTGTTTGTTGAATAGAGATTTCTTGATTCTTGAATGACTTCTTCTTCCTCATGGAAAACTTCTGTTTGAACTCTCTTCACTCCTTCAACTGTAACTGCTAATGTTGCATCTTCGATTTCATTTAATGAATCTAATGTAATATTCTTGTTGCCTGTTGAATAAAGAACTTTGAACAATCTCATTACTTCGCGCTTCAAAATGTATTTCTTTGAGCGAGTGACAGCAGACATAACTTTGGCATTCTTTGGTTGTGGTGGAAGACTGTTTACTTTTGATGCCAAAGTGCAAACGCGATCAAATGCAGAAATGATTCCTGGTGCTCCAATGCAGTCTTCAATTGATAATTTGATTTTCATTGGATTGATGATAATTGAGCGTCCATCAACATGATCTTTGCAGATTCCTTCTGTATCAATTGGTGTTGCACCTTCGCATGTGAATGACTGTGCAAACTCCTTCTCATCTTCGCAAGAAACAATATATCTCTGGGTTGAAATTGAACGGCAGATTTCAGGTGCAAATTTAATTGGGAAGAGACTGTCAGGGAACAAATCTTCATCAATGATTTCGATGTTGCAGTACTCGAAGTGGTCGAAGATGAAAATAACAGTCTTAAGACCAATTGTTTGTGCAAAGTTTGCTGGGAAATCCGTTATTGCTGAAATCAACTTTGGAAGATTTGTCTTTACTTTGCAAATATCAAAAATTGACTGGTCAAGCTGTTTGATTGCCTTGAAATCAATTCCATGTACGTGCTCTGGAAGTTGTGGGAATGAAGGGAAAGCTGTGGATGTTGGAATGGAAATAAACCATTGGCATAAAACTGATACAAATGGTGCAATGGCATAATTGCAGTAACGTGCAGCATTAAGAGTATTTGTAACAAATATATTTGTGTAATTGAGTTGAATTCAAGCGTATATTTTTGGAAATTCATTGGGAAGAACAAAAATGTTCCATTTGAGGCTGATTGTTGAATCTTTCTAAAGAGAATCGTTGATAGTGAATATAATGTTGACGATTTACCTGTTGACGGGAAACCAGAAATAATAAAGTTAATATCTTTAGCTGAAAGTTGCATAAGAGAGTCCATGCACCATGATTCAACTTCATCTTGAAGTTCAGAATTGCCGTAGCTTGGTGCCATCTGATTTGTGACTAAATGATTAATAAAATCATAATATGAAGCGTTCTTTGAAAGATTTGAGAGCTGTTCAAACTTAGTAAGCTTTGCCTTCTGATCAGGTTCTGTAGATGCAAATGTCGCAAGAGTTGACTCTAAGTATGCCTCACGAACTGTCTTATTTGAAATTGCAATGAGTCTGTTGAAAGAAGCAAGTTCTTTCTCTTTTTTAGAATCAGGACTTTTTGTTGCTTGTTTCTCTTTCTCTCTATCCTCTTCTTCTTGTTTCTTGGCAATTGTCTCTGCGACATCAGCCTCAAAACTTGTTGGCTTCTGGTCTTGATCCTCTTCTTCATCATGGCGAGGTGTGTAAAGATGTCTGGACTTTGATCTTGGACTTGGCATTCCAGAGGCAAATTTTTCTCCACATGAGATATAGTATAATGCTTTCTCTTTTATTTGATCCACACTTGTAACTGGCTTTCCTGTTTCGTCGAAAATCTTGTCTACTTTGCTTGGAAGCGCTAAAATTCTGACAGCATCAAGTTTCAATTTTTCAAGTGTTGAAGCAATATCTCATAGTATTTCCGCGTGGATATGCATTCTTCTGGATATTTATGATAAATCCATGAAGTGAACGGTCTGCTAAGTTCATGCGGGGACTCTCAGGCCTTGATTCCATTTAATATTGCCAAGAAAAATTATTTACATCAGGACGATAGAAATTATTTTTTACGAAGAAATCATTTCGGAGGAGAAAATTGAGCACAATTTGCATCATGCATGAACCGTCTCTAATAGCCCTAATTAGCTAATATGTATGCTATTTTAGCAAAATCTGAGATAAATAAAATCAAATTCATACATTTTTTAGAGATTCTACTAGAAAATGGAATCACTAACTAATGAAACACGATTACAATGGTATTCAACTCTAAAAATATCATAAATATTGTGATTTTCTCAGAGAAGCATTGTTTTCTTTTGAAATGATTTAAAATACAATGAAAATAAGAAAATGTTATTAAAATGATACGAATATAATGTTAGATAAAAAATTCGTGAATGTATCAGAACTGTAACAATTCTCCTTACATGACCAATTTAGCAATAAGTGCATGATATGTTAATTCATCTTTTTTAGATAAGAAAATGACGTGGTTGCCAATTGATCAGATTCTCTGAAATGAAATTGAAAAGCTCAGAAAAATTCAATGAATTCAACACCCAATCATTAATCCAAATGTTCTTCCTCTTATTGGGACTTATAATGTCAGGACCTCTTTGCTCCTTATGTAAAAGATATGGAGAACCAGCTCTTAGATATGCTCGTTCTGGTGCATCAATTCAGCAAGTATACAATGTTGCAGCTTCAAAGTGCAATAACTTAGGTTATCTTTCAGGAAAATGCAGAGAAATTGTTAACAGAAACATAAATCGCCTGTATTATCAAGCAAAGGTTTATCCATGGTGTGATGCAAATTGTTTCTGTTCACAGGAAGGGTATTGCTGAAACAAACAAACATTGAATAATAAAAAGGTTTATTATGAATAGTACATTTTTTTAAAATCAATTTATTAATTTTATTTTGTCTTTTTAGTGATTTTTTGCATATGAATGCCACTCACTTTTGGAATGGAAGTACAAAAGATAATGTGCACATTCAAAAATACATTGGTATTACCGAAAACTAATTTTTGACAGAAGTGGATGAAACTTAAAAATCTTCTGAAATAGAAATATTTCAATAATAGAGAAATATCGATTAGTAACCAACTTGTCAGCGAAATCTGTCAATTTGACAATTGAACTTGGAAAACCAACCAAAATTCTAAAACTGAATAAAGTATAAGCCATAAACAGTCCTGCTGATAACAATATTAGAAATTGAATTATTAAACGATTATTTCAGAAATCAAAAATATAATATTCATATTTATATACAAGAGGTAAAAAGAATGGCAAATTGACATTAGCAAACAAACTTATTCAAAACTAAAAAAAAATAATATTCGATGGCGGATCAAGTAACATCGATTAAAATCGTTCTACTTGGTGATAGCGGTGTTGGAAAGACGTCAATAGTTGCTCAATATGTTTCTGGATCGACTCCGGATTCGATTAAGCCAACAGTTGGCTCTGCTTTCTTTACAAAAGAGATCACGATGAGCGGCCGTCCATTAGAGCTTCTCATTTGGGATACAGCTGGCCAAGAAGTTTATCGTGGTCTTGCACCTATGTATTACAGAAGCGCAAAAATTGCAATTATTGTTTTCGATATCACCTCAGCGAAATCATTCGAATCTGTTAGTTATTGGATCAAGGAATTAACCGAAAACGTTGATGGCAATTTGACCATCGTTGTTTGCGGAAATAAGACTGATCTTGAAGAAGCTCGTGCTGTTACTCCAGAAATTGTCCAGAGGAAGATTGAACAGGTCAATGCATTCTACGTCGAAACAAGTGCTACAAACGGTCAGGGAATCGACAGACTCTTCCAATTAGCTATCCAAAGGCAATTCTCGCAGAAGCAGGAGAACCAGAACCAAGACGAAGAGAAAGTGGACTTAAATAACACCCAAGATTCAAATACCAAGAAAAAAGGATGCTGTTAAACAACAAAAATCTTTATAGAGAAAAATACGGAAGGTAATATTACAATTTTCAACGATTATATGCTTTTTGTTGAAGTGTTACTCAAATATTCGAATAATAATAATTGTTCATTAAAAATTAGCAATATTGTCTATTTCATATACAAAATCTTTTTTTAATTACGTTTCGAATGCTCATATTCGTCATCTTTGACTAAAGATATTCTGTGTTCACTTCAAAAATCCCTCCGAAATCAATAAAAAAATTTCAGATTTTATGAAATCAACAAAAAACTTTTGTCATTCGAAATTATTGGATTTTCCATGTTCATTTTTCCAAAGGAACCTACACAGTAATCTCTTTAGATCTTTTTTGTATTTCTCCAACTTCTCAAATTTTTTTTTTCATGAGCTTTTGAATGAAAGAATTGACTTAGTCCTTTAGTTAGCAAAGCAAACATTATCATTGGAATATAAGGTAATGGCATGTCTGTGTTCTAACTCTTGTTATTGGCTATGAAACTTAATATATTTCTGTTTGAGAAGAAGCCAATTTTATAAATGATTGATTTATGATTTCCCATGAAACATCAGGTCTATAAAAATACTTATTCAGTGAGATATCATGTTGTCAAAGCGTGATCTTGAAGAATTATATGGTTCATATCATTGAAAACAAGTTTAATGATTTATAAAATACGAATAAACTTTTATTTTTAAAAAAAAAAGAAATAGAAAAAACTATATATTTTTTGATTTCAGAAAGCATAAAAAAATACCATTTTCCGAAAAGAAAAAACATATACACAAAGAAAAAAGAAATAATATTATAACTCAGCGCGAGCTCTATCTTCTGCTGGAGCACTGATAGAAACACCAGATCCAGAATCTTCTGGTGCAGAGGAGTCAGAGTTATCCTCTTCACCCTCTTTAACAACGCGTCCCTTAGCGTTGATGTGGCGCTTGAACTGTTCGTCCTTTGGCATTCCTGTGTATGTGTCTCTGATGAGCTGAGCGCGTTCTGCTCTGAGGGCGTTGAGCTTGTCCTCTGTTCTATCTGGGAGCTTGATGAGTCTGAGGATCAAGCCGATGACAAGTGATCCGAGGCCGAATGCGAGGGCGATGATCCAGCGGAGCCACTCCTTTGGTGTCTTTAACAATTCGTGATCGAAGACTTTGCCAGCAAATTCAACGATGATGATCTGAACGACGATGATGCCGAAGAAGATTGCAACGAAGAAGATGTTGGAGAAGAGTCCTTCGAAGAATGGTGTGTCCTGGCCGGTAATTCTTGCGTTCGGGAGGTTGAAAACTTGCATGAAAACGAATGTGTTGAAGATGAGGCCGGACAACTGCTTATCGTATGTATCCTGTTCTTTTAATGAGAGGTCGTGGCCAAGGAACTTCTTGTCTGGGACATTGAGGCCGAAGACAGCGTTGTAACCGAAGAGGATCAAGAGCAAGACGGCTGTCTGGTAGATTGTGTGGCCGACAATGTTTCTGATGAGGATGTTGGAAAGGAGCTGGTCACCACGGCCGTATGGCTTTCTCTTGAGGAGGGAGTTGGATGGACCACGTGTAGCGAGAGCGAGGGCACCGAAAGAGTCCATGATGAGGTTGACCCAAAGGAGCTGGAGTGTTGTGAGTGGAGACTGGTGGAGAGCGATGGCACCGATGAAGGCGACAATCATAGCGGCGAAGTTGACTGTGAGCTGGAACTGTAAGAAACCTCTGACGTTATCATATACACAGCGGCCCCACTTCAAAGCAGAAACAATTGAGTTGAAGTTATCATCGAGAATGACAATGTCAGAAGCCATCTTAGCGAGTTCTGTACCGCATCTACCCATGGAAAGACCAACATCTGCTTGTTTAAGAGCTGGAGAGTCGTTGGAACCATCACCTGTAACAGCAACGACTTCACCTGCTTCCATGAGGAATGAAACAAGTCTGAGCTTATCCATTGGAGATGAACGAGCCATGACACGGAGATGTGGAACCTTCTCGAGCATTTCGAGTTTGTCGAGCTTGGCGAATTCCTGGCCTTCCATAGCGATTTCGCCCTTAGATTCATCGAGGATGCCGCACTCTCTGGCAATAGCTTTGGCTGTGGCGATGAAGTCACCCGTAACCATTCTGACAACGACACCAGCTGTTCTGCAGTTGGCGACGGCGTCCTTGACTTCTTCTCTGAGTGGATCCTGGATACCGACAATGCCGATGATTGTAAGATCGTGTTCGACTGTTGTTGCGTCCTTGTATTCCTCCTTGAACTCTGTTCCAAGGTCTCTGTATGCGATGAGCATTGTTCTGAGTGAGTCGTTAGCGAAGATAGTGACTGTTTCGAGGATTGACTGCTTGACTTGTTCTGTGATCTCAAGACGTTCACCTTGAGCGGACATGTAGTGTGTGCAAAGGCCAAGGCAGAAATCTGGACCACCCTTCATGTAAGCGCGGACTGAATCGCCTTCCTTGACAATTGTAGACATCTTCTTTCTGGCGGATGAGAATTCGTGGACGTGGAGAATGTTGGCGTCCTTTCTGATCTGTTCGTAGTCCTTGCCCCATGGCTCGAGAAGCTGAAGGAGGGCGCATTCTGATGATGAACCGACGAATCCTGTCTTTGTAATTTCTTCGACCTTCTTTCCGATCTTCTTCTTCTCTGTTGTTGTCGTCTTGAAGGCTGTTGAGTTGATGGCGACGGCCTTGGTGAACAATTCGAGGATGTCCTTGTTGTCGATTGTTGGATTTGTGCCTGACTGGAACTGGCTGCCGATCTGGTAGAATCTGACAACTGTCATCTTGTTCTGTGTAAGTGTACCTGTCTTATCTGAGCAAATAGCTGTTGCACCACCCATTGTCTCGCAAGCGTTGAGATGACGGACGAAGTTCTGATCGTTCATCATACGCTTCATTGAGAAACCGAGAGCGATTGTAACAGCGAGTGGAAGACCTTCTGGAACGGCGCAAATGAAGATTGTGACAGCAACCATGAACTTGTGGATAAGATCTGGCCAGTGCTTCTTCTTATCATCATCTGTCTCCAATTTCTTGTGATCTAAGATGAAGTAGACAAGAAGAACAATGAATGTGATGACAGCACCGATAGCACCGATGTATGTGAGAATGAGAGCGACCTTCTCAAGCTTGGCTTCGAGTGGAGAGAGCTCATCCTTCTTTTCACCTTCAAGATCCTGAATCTTCATCATCATGTCACCAGATCTTGTGTGTGGACCGATAGCGACGACAAGGCAATGGCCAAAGCCTGTTTCGACAGCTGTACCACCATAGACGAATGGAGCATCGTCATGGACTGGAATAGCGTCGGATTCACCTGTCTGTGCGGAGTTGTTAACCTTAAGATCTTGGCCACGGATATAGAGGCAGTCAGCGGCAATGGCATTGCCTGACTTGAGTGAAAGGATATCACCCATCATGACTTCTGTGGATAGAATCTGAACTTCGTGGCCTCCGCGGATGACGTTGACCTCATAACTGTTCTTCAATTTGTTGATTTCCAAGAATGATTGCTGTTGGGAGTAATCAACTTGTGTCTGAACGAGGGATACAATTAAAACGGCGGCAAAAATAGAAAGTGGTTCAATAAGGACGGATGCACCCTCGTCTTTGTAACTGAAAACGCATTCAAGGATTAAAGACACGACGGCAGCAGCCAAAAGGATAATAAGCATTAAATCTGTAAAGCACATGATATACATGTGGCACCATGATTCTGTTGGTGGATCTGGGAGAATATTGCGTCCGTATTTCTCTATGCGCTTCTCAAAACCAGTCTTAGCTTCATCATCTGTAAGACCAGTTTCGAGGTCTACCTCTAAAGCTTCGGCAAAGCCTTTGACCTTGCCCATTTTGTTGTAAGCTTCGAGGTTTCTTCGATCGAACATGTCGAGAACCTCATCATATGATAGCATGTTTCTGAAATGAAAAAACTAAAGTAAAGAATTGAATAGGTCTTAACGGACTTTGATAGAAATAGTGCCGAAAACATGTCACACTGTGGCAAAAAGGAATACTTTTTGAAAGGAAACCGAATGTAAAGTAGACCTATTGAATAGTTTACATGATTGAATTATCAAAACCTATTTTATGCAAAATTTCATTTTAAATTTCCATAAATAACTACTTGTAAATAGCGAAGTTTTCGATGATTTCGAAATTTTCATAAAAATTTAAACCATGATAGTTCTTAGAGGTAGGGCAACGATAGAAAATTTTTGGAAAAAAAGTTCGGAGATCTTAAACGTATCATATTCCCTGCATGGTTTGGTATCTTCCGCCATGCGTTGTGCCAAACATATTGACACTTTCCAATAATTAATTTATGGTATGAGTCACAGAGTTAGATTATAAAAAGAAAGTAAATAATTGCAATTAGAAATCATATATGTCGGAAATCAAATGTTGATGAGCAGGAACCTTTTACTCATCATAAAAGAGATAAATCACTAAAGATTTGTATACATTAAAATTTGATATTTGGTGCTCGAAAACTGTCTGATGGGACTCCTCCAAAATGAACCAATCTATCGCTGAGGACCAAATTAGATGATGTGGATGGTGTATTCTCTAATTCTAACTTAGGAAGAATGGGAACAAAACGAATGACGACAACAACATGTCAAACATAGATTAAATATCTATGAATCAATAAAGTATACGTGCATTGAAGGTGATAACGATCACTTGAGGCTTATAACTCTTTGACTAAATTATGCAATAATTAAATATAATCATTTTTATATTTTTATACTGATAGTAATTAATATACTATCCTGCTTAATAAATGGTATGATCAAATTTGTTTGAAAATTTAATTATGTATATGAAACTATGTCTTCTATATAAAAATCAAAATTTTCGGACGAACCTAGATTGAACCTTTATGAAAATCTATCATTTTTGTTAATTGAGTTAATATGAATCTTTTACATATGTATATATAGCATTGATAGCTTATATAATCATGGTTTATTCCATATTAACATATTTTTTCAGTTAAATTTGTTAATAATATCATGTAACAAATTAATTCAAGATTAGAATGTCTACAAAATGCTAACAAATAAGAACAAAATACGATTTCTCGACTTAAATTTTAATATGGAGTAGTTTTTCCTTTAAATCTAATTAAAAATGAATAAAAACTTATCTTGTACTATTTTCATTCAAAGATTTTAATAATGTAAATCATGCATTTTCATAATTCAGTACAGTTCTTTTTAGAATTAAAGTTGATGAGGATGATATTTGTGATTTAAAATAATTTGTTAATGTTCACCTTTTATTCATCACCTTGTGGTATGCCCTAAAGCAATAGCATTATCAATTCTGCTGAATTGATCAACTCAAAATTCCAAAAAAAATTCAAAATTTCAAAAATGAAATTAAACAATTTGAATTTTCACATGAAAAAATCAATTTCGAAAAAAATTTGGAAAATCAAAGTATTTGATAATTAGTCAAATAATCAATTTACATCGTTTTTACTCATAAAAAACAACTAATTTTTGATTTTGATATCATATTTGATAAATACTCATTCCAGAGTTGACGTAATGTATTAATTATTGTTAGAGATATTGCTTTCGCAGCAAAATTCTTATTTCATGAAAGAAAAAAAAATGATTTTATTCCAACAAAAACACGTAAACAGATGAATGGAAACGTACTATATTTTCATAAATGTAGTAATCAGCGTGTCAGCTTTTGTTTATCATGTTCGAGTCAAAATGTATTAACTTGTAATAAGAAATATTCGAAGATTATATGAAGTATTGAGCATTCTTTGTAGAAATATTTGTAATTCATTACTAACATATATAATAAAGTTGTTTTTTTTTTCCTTATTGCAATAATTTTGTCTGATTTTAATAACTTTTCATGTATACGAGTTGTGTGAATATGCATCATAATATGCGTAAATATACTTATTTGCGACGAATAATGTGGTTGCATAATGGAGGTGCTAAATTTTGATTTTTAATATGGGGCTTTGGTATGTATAATCATGTTCTTATCTCAACGTAGGAGTATTGGTGCAATATGATTAAAATTTACGAGGTTGATCTTAAATTGAATAATTCTGGAGTATAAATCACAATGCAGCTAATTCTATGTTAAAGATAGATACAGATTGTAGTAATCAATTAGGGAGTACAAATTCATTCTTTCATTTCTGTCGTATTGAGCAGAAAGGAAGAGATCATAACCCTAGGAAAAAAAGCCCAAATTTGTCACTTTTCATAGTACGTTAAACTCAATTCGCTCGGCGAATGCCGAGCACACGTACTCATCATTCAACATAATATTCTCATTCTTTGGTTATTATAGTGCCAGACAACACAAGATTTCAAAGAATTACTTGAGTTTTCAATTAATCTTAATCCGATTTTAGATTTATCGAGAACTCCATCATCACAATCACATACTTCAGTGCGGTAACTACAATTATCCATATACAGAAGGAAGTTCTTTTCGAACAACTCATTTGGAGTCTGTTTTGGAAAGAACTTCTTTCTGTCCGACTTAATTTCATAGTTCCTGATCAACCAAAAGACAGAAACCACACACTATCTACTTAGGAAAGGAGTTCTTTCTAAATCTTCCTTAAATTGAGATTTTACGAGAGATAACCCTTCTATTGCACTTAAAAATGAACATTTTGATATCTTTAGTATCACACATGGTCATATATAGTATTTCATCTACATGAATACATTCATCTTTCGAAGTCTCTCATTAAATGGGAGGCTTCGAAAGATGAATCGTTTTATTCATACAACTTTAAATCTCGAACACATTTAGAGAGTGAGTATATCATTTTATTCTTGTTTTGAGTTTATTCTGATTCAAAATTGCAGTGAAAACAGAAGTTCACACATCATATCTGAATGTGAGCTCATCTATACTTATACGATCTCAATACCTCCACTCTAAGCATAAGAGGTGAAGTTATATAAAAATTATCAGATGCGTTGAAGTCTCAAAAGTATTGCCTGAATGCTTGTTTCATATTTGTCCAAGTAGTTTCAATGAATAAATGTATTGTTTTATATAATTTCGATTTATTTTTAGAAAATATTCAATATAACCTTTATTGTGTTATTTACATCTCATAAATTCTCTGTCTAAATCATATAAAAGCGCGTTTTACCCCTATGAATCAAGAAATTCATTCAATATTCATGGTATATTTATTAAATTTATACGATTTACTAATAATCAATATTATATCCTCATAAATAGCAATATATTTTGGTAATCTATGATAATCATATACAATATTTGAAATCAAATTTTCATTAGTTTAGGTTCCTTGTTAATAGTAAACCATTATATTTATTACTAATAATAAAATCTATGTGTCGTATTGAAATTCAATAAAATTACTTATTCGGTCCAAAAAAACAAATTAGATAAAATTTTTCTTTTTTTATGTAATTTTTGTTTTTCATTTTTCTCAAGATCCTAAGTTATGTTCTAACTTTTGACATCATATCCTATCATGCTAGGCTATATATTATAGCATATAGATCCGTATTTTTCCCAAGTGAGCGGGGTATCTCCAATCCCAGCCCTATCGTCCTCCCAGTGTCAGTTTTCAATATAAAATCCAAATTTTTTTTGAAAATAAAAATTTCGAGAAATTTTTCTGATTTTTTTTCTTTGATTTCAATAATTCAAAATAAATTTGGGAGTAAAAAGACACTATTTAATGAAATTCATATGAGTGAATGTGGATAAATACTCTCAAAACATACAATTTATCTATTTTTTCTTTATATTAAACTAATTAGTGATAATTTTTTTTGAATCAGATTTTTTTTTCATTAAAAACATAATATATAACACAACAATGATGCACACATACGTATCTACACATCAAAATATAAAGCTTGTTTTGGTCTGGGCATCCCAACCCAAAATTCTTTAAAAATTGAATAAAATTGAATACTTGGGGCTGGGATGCCCATCCCAAAACCGAATTGAATTTTTTGAATTAAAGAATATATTTATGTATTTATAATATACATGTGATGTCTATAAAAAATACTAAATTCTAAAAAAAATTCAATTTATTCAAAACGTATACTAAGTGATCACTTCATTAGTAGGATCAGCAATCCTACTAAATGGTGAGAACGCCACTAACTAAAAAAGGAGTCCTTGGAGCTCTTGATCTCTTGTCAGTAGAGTTCATAATGAGGCATGGCATCTACTGATTAGAGATCAGAGCAATCCTACCTTACCTTCAGGAGCTACAAAGCTCCTAATCGTTACGAGAGGGAGTCTTGGAGCTCCTGAAGCTCATCAGCAGAGGCTATTTACCATTTGGGCCTCTTCTGATGAAAGATGCGAAACACGTCTACGAACCAGGAGCTTCAAAGCTTCTAATCCTTACTAAAGGGAGCTTTGGAGCTCCTGAGTCTCCATCAACAGAGTCCCAGATGGTAAATGTCCTTTGCTGATGAAAGATGCGAAACACATCTACGAACCAGGAGCTCCAAAGCTCCTAATCCTTACGAAAGGGAGCTTTGGAGCTCCTGAAACTCCTTTTACTATAAAATATGACAGTTTTCTTCTGAGGTTCTCATCAAATCTAAGACTTCAGAAGAAAGCTGTCCTATCAATGTATACTTACACTCTCATGGACTACAAGTGTACAATTTTAAAGCAGAGATTATCCGAGGCCTCTCATCAAATGAGGGACCTCGGATAATCTCTACCTTAAGTAGTCAAATAACTTTTCTCACTATTTAGGAACAAAAGAACAAGAGTTGGAGTACTTTAAGGCAAGATTCTTCCGAAATCTCTCATCGAATGAGAGACTTCGGAAGGACCTTGCCAAATCCTTGAACGCCAATATCCTTGGAACTGAGCTAGAACCAGGGAGAAGTAGCATACTATAGAGCACGATGGTAATCTCGGAAATACTTATATCGCCCCAAGCACAATATTTAAGAAGTCTAACTCATATATACAAGAAGTCAGGCTGAATAGATATTGTGCATATGGTTTGCAGAACTCTCATGATATTTAAAATTCATGTTATCCCAAAAAAGGTGACACTTTGGGTGTATCGTCCATCCCAGGGATGCAAAAATCACATCACCTTGGATCTATATTATAGCATATCCAAAAGGCAAGGAAATCTATCAGAGAAGCCTTTTTGACCTATCGTTGCCCTACCTCTTAGTTCTTTGCAACAGTTAAGTGTCAAAAATAAAGAACAATTACGAATTGGGTGAGTAGTCTAGTGGTATGATTCCTGTTTTGGGTACAGGAGGTCCCGAGAAGCTTCCACTGCAATCGTACGTGTACTGTGGCAACACAGCTATAACAGACAGTTTCACGCCAACCGCGAAAACGATTTTGAAGCCTGAGGAACAAAATTTAGATATCGTTTTGAAAAATATTGCAGCGTTGAATCCAGAAAATTACTCCGACTTAATCAGGAGCCTATCGAAGATGGAGTTCAGATTAGATTACCCGAAAGAAATAGAGAATTACTGGATTTCGGAAAAATTATTTAGCCAATCCATCGCATCATTGCCCATCAGTTTGTTAGTCGCATCCATGTTCTCACCTGAAGACCGTGACTTGAGTACAGAACCGTTCCACTGTAGCGCTGATGGCTGTAATTTCCATTGTGACAATTGTGAAAGAATGGTTGAACACTGACCCCATGATCAATACATTTGAAACAACAGAAGACACATTTAGAAGAATAACGGCCATCAAAATAGACAAGACAGGCATCGAAGAACTTAACCCTCTAAAATACAGATGCTCGTATTGCGACGAGTTATTCACCGAAGCAGAAGATCATGCCATCCATATGATTTCACATCTCACAGAAAAATTATCACCAGATATATCTTTCTTTTTCAACGACATTTTACGCCTTTACAAAACTATCGACAAACCAACAGTACAAAATTTATTTCCAGAAACACAAGTCGCAATTTTTGACACACTTGAAGAAACAAACAGATTCAGACTTATCGTAGGAAGAGAAGCCATAGAAACAATTGAAGAAGCATTCCCTCCAAGTCCACCAGGAACAGATCGGAAACCATCCATAATCATCACAGACACCTGTCAACTCAGGTTTGTACCATGCATGGATGAACCACCAAAAGGAGATCTGGAATTTGACTCTACTTTTAAGAGATTTCAGCGCACACAATATCCCGATTAAATCACTGAACAATAAGGAACTAATTGCCGATAAAGACATCGATTACAGCCCAGATTTTGTCGAAGGAGCTCTAGCCAACGCAGAAGAACATGATACAACGAACAGCCAGAACAACAATGGAAGATACATTAACTCAGCCGAAAAACTTACAGAATTTTTAATACAATGTGAAGACTACTTAACGAACATCAAAACACTTGAAGACTTAGAACGTTTCTACACAACGATTAAAGACTACAGAGTCAACAAAGAGGTTATCGCCGAAGATACACCAATCTTTGTATATTTCCTAGTAGAAGAAGGGAAATTACCAAAACCAGGTCTTAGATGCCCACTTGAATCATACGAAGGACACGAAGACAAGGCATTCGAATCACTGAGAAAACTTTGCGACCACTTCAAAGGAGAAATCGCGAAAACGAGCTTTGACCCAAAGGTTCACACCATAGACATCTGGGTTGAATTTTTGGCCCAAGCCTATGGCACAGACACGTTTGTCTACAAAGATGAAAACGGAAACATCGACCTTGATACGCACGTATTCAAATGCCCTTATGCAGACTGCTCATACACGAACAACGACAGATCAAAACTCATGGACCACATGAAAACGAAGAAACACGCCAAGAACGTATACATCGAGAGATACGGCTTCTTTTGGGGTATTGTCATAGAAGGAGTCAACCGACCAAAAGGAATCGTCTACCCGACACTCAAAGACATCAAAGAACACGCTTGTCGCAAATGTCCAGAAGCAGGATGCAACACATATGTAACAGAATTGAGCGACATCAAAGAACATCTAAAGAAGAAACATAAGTCTACAACAGCAGGAGTAGACGGAGAAATCGCGCACACTGATGCTACATACTGCTGGATTACCAAAGAAGAACTCGACGCATTACATGCCGAGAGAGCAAGAGAAAGAGCAGAGCAAGTAGACAACACTCCAGTACAACAGATAATTAATGCTGACAACAATGAAGAGAACAACGAGAACCAAAAATATTTGTTAGATTTTTGTAGATGAAAATACAAAAACAAAATATTTTTGGAAAATTTAACATCAAAAAAATAGCATGATTTTGTCTTGAATTAACAAGAGGTGGTTGAGGATGCCAAGAAAATGTTTCTATTCCAAAATATAAAATAATACAGTTTTATTCCGTTATTTATAACAATTCCAATAATATAACTTAGATCGCATAGCTTCATCTTTCGCTCTATTGCATATCTCTTTCATTTCACATGAGAGAGAAGTTTTAATCTTCCTTATTTTTAGAACTTTCGTAATCTTATCGTATAAAATACAACAAGAATGCGCATTAATCATTTTCACTACAGATTCTACGTTGCTTTCTAAAATACTAGCGGCTTCTTCGATGGAAATTTGCCCTTTTTCCGAAATCGTTGTTTCTAAACGTTTAATCTTATCGTCTATCGAAATACGTTCAAACTCTGCCTTAAGAAGATGAATTAAACTCTCAGATTTAATTTTGAATTTTTCATCGAGAATCTTTGAAATTTCATCGATATTTCTTTGTTTCAGCAACTCGATAAACTTTAAACTATCACTATCAATCGAATTTATCTTACTTTCATCAACATTCTGCTGAGATAAAAATATCGAAATTAAATAATAGTATTTGTAGTATGGTTTGAACTCTTTCGTAATTTCTTCGTAATTTGTTATCGTATTGAGATACTTAAATGACTTTTCGAACAACTTTTTCTGAAAACTCTCAATTCCTAGCGCTAGCATCAAAATTGGATTAGAATCATCTGAATTTTTGTACAGTTTTCGAGCTATTCTGCAAAGTTCTTCTACATTTGATGCATTATATTCTCTAATTAATCTTATTTGATTAAAAAGCATATTCATTTTGTTTCCAAGCTTATCACTGGATTTTATTGAGTGTTCATAGTATGGAGTAATCTCCTGAATGATTTCTCCAATCTTTTCTTGGTTAACTTTCGTTAAATAGTAAATTTGATAAGTTTTGATATATTTATAGGCTTTGATTTCTTGCAGTTTTATATTTTTAGGATTGTTTTCATTTGTTTGATGAATATTTAGTTCCTTAAGTAAATCTTGGAAAATATTTTCCAAATTATTTTGGTTAATTTGCTTTTGCGTAAACATTTTAATTAAGTTTTCAAGTGTTTGCATTAAATCATATAACATATTTTGACGCAAATATAAAATTGCTAAATTCTGATGTAATTGAATGATATCTTTCGGCTGAATAGCATTTTCATGAAAGAGATCTCGAAAAGAAGCAATTGACTTTTGTGGATCACTCTCAATCAATGATTTTGCATACTGAATCTTATGTTTTAGCTCAATAATTGCGTATTGCATTTCATTTCATGTCAAAAATTTTTACAACAAAAATGACATATCACCAAATCATATGATTTATGTTAAATTATAATCAACATGACACAGATATTCGAAAATTAGCTTTAAATATACCAAATTTCATAAAATAATCAATTTTCCATTCAAAAACATCCAATTCTGCATTATTAGTCGAGATAATCTACAGAAAACTTAATAAAAATAAGTTTTCTCTTATTCATTAAACTCATTACAATAGTTATTGACCAAAAAAATCAAAAAATCAAAATTGTTATGAGAAAATAACAACATTAATTCATGTAATCGACATTCTAAGCAACAAAGTGTTAGATTTGAAATGAAATTGATCTAAATTTTTTGATATATCTGCGTAAAATTTTGAAAATTTCAAAAATTAGAAAAAATTCTTAGATAATTAGATAAGTATCATTCTAGAAAATGTTTAGTAGATACGGTGAGCCTTGCCCATTGTGGACTTGAGGACAATGGAGCCGATTGATTGCCAGCCCTTCTTAAGAAGTGTGACAACGTAGTTTGTGCAAAGTGTAAGGTTTTCGAAAACCTGGCGCTCTGTCATGTTGACGTTGCCGATTGGGATACCGAAAGCGACGGACTTCTTCAGACGGATGTTAGCTGTGCGCTTAACTTCATCAACAACCTTAGCGACTGTATCTGTCTTGATGTTTGTTGGGAACTTGTTAGCACGTGTGTAAACCTGACCAAGGACCTTGTTGACCTGACCGATAACATCTGGGGAAGCAAGGAAGAGGTGGTGGCGCTTTGTCCAGGCCTTGACAACCTTCTTCTCCTTGTTGAAGTTTGTAAGTGTTGGAAGATCGTAAGCTGGGATGTTGAGCTTCTGGGCTTCTTCGCAGTGGACCTTGTTACCAAGGACACCGATGCGAACGTTTGGACGGATGATGTGTGGGAGCTTGATGGAGCCGACGAAACGCTTATCCTTAGAAACGTTGTAGCCCTTGAGCTTGAGCTGGATATCGACTGTCTCGAGGAATCCGCGCTTCTTTGTCTTGGCGCCCTCAAGAACGTCCTTGATAGCTTTCTGGAGTGTTTCCTGGTGAAGATGTGTCATCGGAAGAAAAGGCCCAACGAAACCGTAATTATCGTGTAAGTGGGGCCAAGTTTATTAAAATTCCGTATGTTTTCAAAAATTCAATCAAGTTATGAAGTTTACACGGATTAGTTTTAAGAAAAGTGGCTTATTGAACATTTCTTTAAAAAACTAATACAAAAATACATATATTAACATATTATTCCTATTTCACTAAGTTTTAAGATTTTCATCATAGATTTTCAAATAACTCGACTGATCTCCTGTATAAAATCTCACAATTCTTTGATAAAATCAATTGCTACTTTGTATTGATGCATCAGGTTAAATGATTCATAGAATTTCAAATTATTGATGTCAAATGTCAAATTGCCCCAGTTATTTCCAATTTTTACTCCCTAAATTTCAAATCTTTTTATCGAAAAAACATGGATTCTGTAATTCTTGGAACAACTGCTGTTCTTGCTGTAGGCTTAGGATCATATTTTGCAGCACGTGATATCAGTAATATATCAAGTAGCGTCTTATCTTCAAGTAGAGTTAAATCATATCCATTTATGGCAGGCATTTCATTGCTTTCGATCAATTTAATGTTTACATATCTTGATCCATATTACGTTAACTTAGGTTTTACGTTTTATTTCGGCTTAGCCGGTACAAATAGCATTTGGTTTTTATTACGTGCATTTTTTGGCAAAAAATCTAGAAAATTATTTACATATCCACACTCAAAATCCATTCTTTTCGAATTCGTTATTCCTTCTGAACCAGTAGACTTTTTATTATCCGATTTACCACTTTATATCATTGGTGTTGTGATCAATGTCATTTATTTCACAACTAAGAATAATCTTGCAAACAATATCATCGCCTTTTCTGTTGCTTTCTACGGTGTTTTAAGTATTCGCGTTGAAAAATTTACATCTGCAGCTCCACTTCTTTGGTCGCTTCTTATTTACGACGTATTCTTTGTTTATCAGACAGATGTTATGACCTCCGTTGCTCAGAAACTCGAAGGACCCGTTAAATTAGTTATTAATCTTCATGGACATGGAAATTCTGTCTTGGGACTTGGAGATCTTGTTTTACCAGGCATTTTCATATCCACATGCTCTAGATTTGATCACTTTATTAAGAAAGTCACTGGAAGACGTTCTCCGTACTGGTTTATCGCAATGGTTTTCTATGCCACAGCCATGGGTGTAACAGATTACGTCTGCTATAAGACACGCAGAGGTCAGCCAGCGCTTTTATTCATCACTCCGCTTGTTACGATTCCAATCTTGTTTACAGCTCTAGTTCGGAGGGAATATCGCGCATTCTGCTCATATTCTGGGTAAATACTATACATATATTATTTGTATCCTCTCTTTATTTTGAGTAGGTGCCAAAAGTGCTTACTCTTAAACAACCGTCGGATTTCCGGGTGAAATCGTGACACACTTTCGTCTTTCGTAGGCAGTGGTGGTTGTTACAAAAGGTAACTTCGAATGTAGCGTGAAATCTGCAAAAAAAATTCTGAAATTTGAATGGAGAACACAAAAATTGAATAGTTTACGTCAATAAAAAAGAGAAAAATGAAGCCAATGTGTCTCGAACCCAGGACTTAGAGCAGCAATCCCACTGTTTATCAAATTACACTACATGCATCTCTCACCTCAGTGAATGAGATCAACTATATGATAACTTTTTCCCCATTATATTCTTGTGGAAAAGTGACAAATAGCAACTTTGACCCTCTCTCTCTTTATTTTTCAAATTTCGATATATTATTTTTCAAAAATAATAAAAAACACAGTTTATATAATAAAATCATTCTTTTGAATCATAGTATTTAAAATTATCATTGAATTATATCAATAAATATTAAATTATCTTTCATTCGACTATTTTTTGCTTTAAAATCCTGTTCGGCATTCAAAGCCAAAATAATCATTAATTACAGACGTTTTCTCATTTTTAGCTTGATTCATATTTCATAGTAATATAAAATTGATGTTATCATATGCATAGATAAAACTCAGACTGTTACATGTATGAAAATTTGGGACTTATCAATTTCTTACTTATGATTTATCTTCTTTCTCTTATTAGATTTATATGATGTGGAAATATTAAATTATGAAGAGTTAGAAATGTTTACGAAAGTTTGTAAAAAAAGAGAAAGTTCATTAACTTTAGAAATACTTTTATTGATAATTGCAAATTCTGCTTGGCAATTACCAGTTGAAAAATGAATCAATTTATTAGTAAATAGTTCTCTTGTATTTTTAAGTTCTGTATTTCTATAAAATGTTGTTGAAATCGAATTGTCAATGTAACAACTATCAACTGTTGTTTGTTCATCATAATAGTTATATATCAAATATGAACCTTGAGGAACAGTGTTGTTAATAAAAGAACAACATTTACAGTAAGAGAATTAATAGAATGGTAAATGATTCCATATTCTGATTTTGTTTTGGTATTATTTATAATATTACATGAATCAATCAACGCGTTATAATGAAAAGCTAAAATAGTTTGTTCTGTTGCTAAATTATTAACAACAATTGTATAGTTATATTTCGTTGTGTATTTATCTAAAGGATTTTTTAAAAAACCAGCAGATGCATATTTAGATTTACATGATGAGAAATTTGCTGATGAAACTACAATATTATCACGTTCAGCTTCAATAGACCAATCACCAACACCTTCATTTCCTACATCGAAAAGGGAACTTTCAATAAAAAAGTTTAAGTTATCTTTGTCAAGATATGTATATGAAAAATGTGCTCCACTTTGGCTTTGGCATTTTGTACAACAGAACTTTCGTTGAACAATCGAACTATTACTCCCAATTTTGAAGTAAATGCAACTTCCACTTGATGTTGAAGTGCAATTACTAAAAGAACATCGATTATGTAGAAACAAAGTATTGGAAATTGGGTTGAAGTTGATAACTCGGTCGTTATCATCAAAAAAATTACACTCATCTAAGTAATATTGACCTTGACCTGCCGGTTGATTACAATTTTGACAATGATTAGTTGCTTCATTTACAAAATGAGTGTTAAAGTAGCTATTCCAAACATCACCATCCTGTTCGGACGACTTTCCCCAAAATTTATACACAAATTACCAAAATATGATACAAAATCATTCACTTTTAATATATCTTGTATCGCACTTTTGATTACATGCTCGAATACATGAGAAATTTATATTGAATCAATTTCAAATTTTCAGGTTGCATTCAATAATTTGCCTGAATAATATTTGAATCAGAATTAAAAAAAGAATATAAATCTATATAATCCCAGTAATATGCAGTATATGAAAAGGTTTATTTATCTGAAAAAAATAAAACAACAAAATTCAGAAAGCTAAAGAATCTGTTTGGATTTATGATATTACATACACATGAGTATGAGAGGAATTTGATTCGTGCAAAGCCATTACCGTAGTGGCCTTCTTCGTTAATACCTTCAGGCGACCGAAATGATTCTGATCCACTTTGAATTCGGCCAATATAACCCGACTTTATAAACGAAGATCCACCACCACCACCTGCCTCGTACGAGCCACCTCCACCATAATATCCCCCTCCTCCACCACCGCCATTAAAGGCTTCGCCAATACCATTACCTCCTTTTTTAAGGGTCCCATTTTCTGCTCTATACAAATTATAATAATATCCTCCGATACCAGGGCTTTCTTGATTGGCACCTCGCCCTTTTTTAGATGCCAAAGTTGATGTACCATCAAAGCCAACTAATCCACCGGCATTCCCACCACTGCCATCGCACCCACACCCACCTCCACCAGCTGCAACGGCAATTCTATCGGAATCAAAAAGTGACAGACCTATTGAAGTAGACCCACCACCACCGCCGGCGATCAGAGCTCGACCATTCTTATAGTTACCTTGAAATGAATCACCGCCGCCGTTGCAACCGCCTTTCACCATAGTTATATTAGAAAAAGTCGAAGTTCCACCAATAAAGAGTGTAAAAGTTTTCGATTCAACGAGATTTAGACGAATCCATACATATGCACCTTTGCCACTTCGCTCTGTCTCATTACATCCACCACTTGCACCCCAAAGTTCGACCAAATACTTTCCAGGCTTTAATTCTACAGTTTGAGGTGCTGCATCCACAGACTCATTTAATTTACATGTACACGGATACAATACTTCCATTTAATTTACACGATTCAGTAAATGTGATTTTATTTTCGCGATTTTCATTATTTATTTCTTTAATATCTTCAACTTCTTACATTCAATATTTTATCTTAAGCAGAGTTTTTCTGGATTTTAGTGTATATATTATCAGAAACATTCATTTTAAGTTAAAGTTGCTTTGATTTCGGCCATTTATTCCTAAAAACATATGATTATTTTTTGTGTTAAATTCGGCTCAAAAAGCTTTTTAATGAATGAATTTTTGTTCCGAAATATCATATTATCTTGCTTTTAGACCTTGATAATTTCTTTCAGATGTTGTTTGATTAGATTTATCTTATCTGGTAATATATTTGTTTTTCTCATTGTAACCCATCAGGTTCATTCATAAGAATATTAGATTATTTCATCTGAATGTAAAAGTGACGGTTCTATTTCTAAAGTATATTGTAGTGTTTATCTAGTGATGATGGATACATTTAATGCAATATTAACTATTATTAGAGGGACATAGTTTCTATTTTATGCTCATTTAAATCTAATTTCAGTAAGCATAATTATCATCCTATCAAATTACTAAAATCACTATGATTGATACTCATATTTCTTCTTTCCTGACCGAATTTCTATAGAATTGCGAGGTGGTATGTTAAAATAATATAGTATCAATGATAAAAGCATAATTTTATATATATATATACACCATAGTAGTTTCACTTTTTGCATATGAACTCTATATTAATTCTGGCTAGAAACTAGAGAAATTAAAAATTTTCAATTTTTGGCCCATTAAAAATACCTTTTTGAAAATAAAAAATATTAATATTAATTATGTGTGATTCTTGACATATATTCATAAAATCAAGTGATTTGGAGCGATTGGCATAAAAATCTTGTTTTATTTCTAAATTTATCAGAAATAGAAAGAATATGAATTTAGAATATTATTTTATGTAGAAACATTATTATTTTGCACCATGTGAAATAAGAAGTTCTGCTGTTTCTTTACTATTATTTTCTGCTGCAATATGAAGAGCAGTTTTTCCATCTTCATCTTTTTCATTGATATTTGCACCATGTGAAATAAGAAGTTCCGCTGTTTCTTTACTATTATTTTCTGCTGCAATATGAAGAGCAGTTTTTCCATCTTCATCTTTTTCATTGATATTTGCACCATGTGAAATAAGAAGTTCCGCTGTTTCTTTACTATTATTTTCTGCTGCAATATGAAGAGCAGTTTTTCCATCTTCATCTTTTTCATTGATATTTGCACCATGTGAAATAAGAAGTTCCGCTGTTTCTTTACTATTATTTTCTGCTGCAATATGAAGAGCAGTTTTTCCATCTTCATCTTTTTCATTGATATTTGCACCATGTGAAATAAGAAGTTCCGCTGTTTCTTTACTATTATTTTCTGCTGCAATATGAAGAGCAGTTTTTCCATCTTCATCTTTTTCATTGATATTTGCACCATGTGAAATAAGAAGTTCCGCTGTTTCTTTACTATTATTTTCTGCTGCAATATGAAGAGCAGTTTTTCCATCTTCATCTTTTTCATTGATATTTGCACCATGTGAAATAAGAAGTTCCGCTGTTTCTTTACTATTATTTTCTGCTGCAATATGAAGAGCAGTTTTTCCATCTTCATCTTTTTCATTGATATTTGCACCATGTGAAATAAGAAGTTCCGCTGTTTCTTTACTATTATTTTCTGCTGCAATATGAAGAGCAGTTTTTCCATCTTCATCTTTTTCATTGATATTTGCACCATGTGAAATAAGAAGTTCCGCTGTTTCTTTACTATTATTTTCTGCTGCAATATGAAGAGCAGTTTTTCCATCTTCATCTTTTTCATTGATATTTGCACCATGTGAAATAAGAAGTTCCGCTGTTTCTTTACTATTATTTTCTGCTGCAATATGAAGAGCAGTTTTTCCATCTTCATCTTTTTCATTGATATTTGCACCATGTGAAATAAGAAGTTCCGCTGTTTCTTTACTATTATTTTCTGCTGCAATATGAAGAGCAGTTTTTCCATCTTCATCTTTTTCATTGATATTTGCACCATGTGAAATAAGAAGTTCCGCTGTTTCTTTACTATTATTTTCTGCTGCAATATGAAGAGCAGTTTTTCCATCTTCATCTTTTTCATTGATATTTGCACCATGTGAAATAAGAAGTTCCGCTGTTTCTTTACTATTATTTTCTGCTGCAATATGAAGAGCAGTTTTTCCATCTTCATCTTTTTCATTGATATTTGCACCATGTGAAATAAGAAGTTCCGCTGTTTCTTTACTATTATTTTCTGCTGCAATATGAAGAGCAGTTTTTCCATCTTCATCTTTTTCATTGATATTTGCACCATGTGAAATAAGAAGTTCCGCTGTTTCTTTACTATTATTTTCTGCTGCAATATGAAGAGCGGTTCTTCCAGCATTACCTTTTTCATTGATATTTGCACCATGTGATAGGAAATACTCACAAAGAGATGGAATGTTAAACAAAGCAGAATGAATAAAGCATTTGTTAATATCATTAGTTTGGTCATAATAAATTAAAAGTGCTTCAAGGTTGTTATAAAATCCACAATCTTCTAAGTTGATTTCAATATTGTATTCATTCATTAAGAATGTAACAAAATCAATATTGTGTGAAATAATTGAATATTCCATACAATATTTATTTGGTTTTTGATATTTCAAACATTCACTCATGATCTCTGGATTTCCTCTTAAAAATGAAAACTCTAAACATTCTTGTGTTATTTCCGAGTTAAATTCTGATCTTAATAACTTGAAACAATCAGCTGCTCCATAATAGCAACATATTTCAAGTAATGAATAATTATTATAAGAGTTTGGATATAATCTGCTATTATTTTTTTGATCCTTATCAAATCCTTCTCTTTGTGTGAATGAGATGAATAGTTCAAGATTGTTTTCCATAATTGCTCCGTAAATTGTATTTTCTATATGAATTTCGGAATTTTCAAAATTACATTTTTCGAATTTATCAGACTTGCATAATTTAATTCCATATTCTTCATAAAATAGGAAGTTTGAAATAATTGAAATATTTTCGACATCTTTGATATGATAATCATCAGATAAGAGTTTAGCAAGAGATAAATATGACTTTGTATAGCGATTGTTATACGGAATGATATTTAAAATGTCTCTCATAATCTTTGTGGGTGGATATTTCTTTGAATCAATCAACTCTGCTTTGATCTTTTTGTAAATAGAGATTAATTCTTCTCCTTTTTCCGTTTTTAGCTGATACAGCGCAATATACGGATCGATGTAGTATTCGTAGATACTTCGTAACTCGCTGAATTTATTTGGATGTATGTCTTGATCAGACATGAAAAAAAATTTAAAAGTTATATATTGATATTTTACTATATAAAATATCCTTGTAATCACTAGAAGAAAAAATGCTAAGCTACACATGTGGATAACATCTGCTGCAAAGATTTCGGATATCAATTATGGATTCTGATTAAGTTCTAAGATATGAAATGGATTATCAAGAATAGAAAAGTCGAAAGCAATAAGATTTTTATAAAGAAGCTTATATCATTTTACAAACGTATCAATAATCTTTTTATCCAAATAAGTACACTTCTTCTCTCTGGTCCTGGAAAAGTTCCAGAGATATCGGTGCATTAGAACTTGGCAAGGTCCTTCCGAAGTCTCTCATAGGTTGAGATTTTGGAAAAACCTTGCCTCAAAGTACACTGATTATCAGAAAAAGTTATTAGTCTATTAAGACAGAGATTATCCGAGGTCCCTCTATTCTTGAGAGACCTTGGATAAATTCTGTATTAAGATTGTATACTTGTGTTTCTATCAGAATGTAAATATACTCGAATAGGACAGCTTTCTTCTGAAGTCTCTAATTTTATGAGAGACAGCGGAAGAAAGCTGTCCTATTGTATAGTAGACCTAGTTTCAGGAGAGACATTTCGTAATGGTTAGAAGCTCCTGGTTCGAAGGTGTGCTTCCATCTTTCAACAACAGAGGACATTTACCATGTGGGACTTAGGAGTTTTGTAGAAATTGAAAGCCAAGTTGAATTCTTCTGACCTCAAATTAGTATAGATCATGTCTCATTATGAGGTCAACTGACATGAGATCAAGAGCTCCAAGGATACATTTTTAGCGAGTGGTAGACTCAACAAAAAAATTATCTAACAAACGATTATTTATGATTCAAATGCTGTTCGGCATTAGAATCAAAAATAATCATTAGAAAGATTATCACACATTTATCGTATTTTTATACAGGTGTGAAGTAATTTGTATTTTTTTTTTAATAAATTATCATTAGAGGAAAAAAGTACGACAGAAACCGGATGAACCCATGGGGTTTCGAATCCCTCATATTTTTATGGCATAATGCCCCTAATATTAGGATGTAATTTCTATGTATGCTTGTATTCAAAGTTTAAATAAGCTCAATGCTGTCCTATGCAATATTAGAAAATTTTGCAAGTTAATTATAAAAATACAAACAAATTTTATTGAATATTAACTTTGTTTTTGAGATATTTGATGAGAAAACTACTCCCTGAATCATCAGAGTCAGATAATACTGAATTGGACTTTTCTTGAGTGGAAGCACTTTCTATTTCGTTCAAAACTGAATCATGAGCATACTTTGCTAAGAATTCATTTTCATCTTGTTTTGGTTTCTTTTGTTCTTTTTCAGGTGTTGAATCACTACTATATACTGTCATATTGACTTTCCCCAAAATTTATACACAAATTACGATAATAACCTTATTTTTTATGAAAACGGATCATTCTTGACAATTTCATATATAAGCCAAATAATCCCAGTGTTAGGATGTGGTTTCTGTGCATTCATATGTGCAATGTTTTTTTGGGCACAATACTGTCATTTGCAATATTAGTAAATATTTCCGAATAAAATGTTCAAAAATTTTGCAAGTTAATTATAAAAATACAAACAAATTTTATTGAATATTAACTTTGTTTTTGAGATATTTGATGAGAAAACTACTCCCTGAATCATCAGAGTCAGATAATACTGAATTGGACTTTTCTTGAGTGGAGACATTTTCTATTTCGTTTAAAATTGAATCATGTGCATATTTTGCTAAGAATTCATCTGTTCCAAGAAGATTTATTTCATTTTCATCTTGTTTTGGTTTCTTTTGTTCTTTTTCAGGTGTTGAATCACTTCTATAAAGTTTTATTCTTCTTTCAAATTAATTTTATGATAAAAATACTTCATATAAAAGTATATGTAAACAATCATCACACTTCTATGTGAAGTATTTGTATGATAAAATTGGGACTTATCAACTTCTGACAAATCAAAATGTTGTGTTCCACTATAATTATTCAATATTTTGCATTGCAACTCTAATATTATTAATTACCTTGGAATAGTTAATATAATTATCAAGACATCTACTAGGAGATATTTTTTCTGGGCAATCCACAAAAAATAAATTGAAAATATATCAGATAGAATTAATTGCACTGTATATAACTTAACTTTGGTTTTTTAATATATACTATGATTTATATTCTTTCTCTCATTAGATTTATATGATTGTTACATTTTCATTATTGAAATACACAATATTAGATTATGAGAAGAATCTAATGTTTACTAAAGTTTGTAAAAAAAGAGAAAGTTTATTAACTTTAGAAATACTTTTATTGATAATTGCAAATTCTGCTTGGCAATTACCTGTTGAAAGATGAATCAATTTGTTAATAAATAGTTCTCTTGTATTAGTAGGTACTACATTTCTATAAAATGTTGATGAAATCGAATTGTCAATGTAACAATTATCAACTGTTGTTTGTTCATTACCATCGTTATATATCAAACATGAATATTTAGGAGCAGTGTTGTTAATAAAAGAACAACTTTTTATGGTAAGAGAATTATCTGTATGGTAAATAATTCCAGTATCTGATGTTGCTATGGTATTATTTATAATATTACATGAATCAATCAATGCGTTATTCCAAAAATCTAGAATCATAGTATCTGGTGCTAAATTATTAACAACAGTTGTATAGTTATATTTTGTTGTGTATTTTTCTAAAGGACTTTTATACCAACCAGCAGGTATGGAAGCAGATTCACATGATGAAAAATTTGTTGATGAAACTACAATATTATCACGTTCTGCATAAATAGAACTACCACCATTTTCTATTCCTACATCGAAAAGGGAACTTTCAATAAAAAAGTTTAAGTTATCTGTGTCAACATATGTATATGAAAATTGGCCTTCACCTTGGCTTTGGCATTTTGTACAACAGAACTTTCGTTGAACAATTGAACTATTACTGTCAATTTTGTAGTAAATGCAACTTCCACTTTCTTCCGAAGTGCAGTTACTAAAAGAACAACGGTTATGCAGGAATAAAGTGTTGGAAATGGAATCAAAGTTGATAACTCGGTCGTTATCATCAAAAAAATTACACTCATCTAAGTAATATTGACCTTTATCTGCTGGTAGATTACAATTTTGACAATATTGAGTTGCTACACCTACAAAACTGTTTTCAAAGTAACTATTCCAAACATCGTCATCCTGCTCGGATGACTTTCCCCAGAACTGACACACAAATCACCTAATTAACCTTATTTCTTTGACCATATATTTTTATCGCATAAATAATACTTCAATAATAGGATGTAATTTCTATGCACACTTGTGTTCAATGTTTATTTAGGCTGAATATTGCCATTAATTGTTTCCTCATAAAATGATCAAAAATTTTCTAATTAAACATAAAAATACAAACAAATTTTATTGAATATTAACTTTGTTTTTGAGATATTTGATGAGAAAACTACTCCCTGAATCATCAGAGTCAGATAATACTGAATTGGACTTTTCTTGAGTGGAGACATTTTCTATTTCGTTTAAAATTGAATCATGTGCATATTTTGCTAAGAATTCATCTGTTCCAAGAAGATTTATTTCATTTTCATCTTGTTTTGGTTTCTTTTGTTCTTTTTCAGGTGTTGAATCACTACTATATACTGTCATATTAATCATGTTACTTACAGTTTCTTCAGGGACTCCTTCTGAGTCTAATTTATCTAAAATAGAACAGCAATCAACATCTAAATCATCATCACTTAATTTCAGAATTGAAAATCCTGTTTTCTTTGGTTGATCTTCAAAGTCTGCAATGACAACTGTGCCTGTGAATCCAAAGTCTCTTTTCTTTCGTGGTTTGAATTCATGTTCTGATATATCTGATATGTCATTCATTCGTGCATTTTCTTGACCTGGATTTAATATATGAAGAAGCTCAACAAGGTCATCAAGAGGTTGAGATCCTTCACTTTTCTCTTGCTTTTGTGATTCAGTTTGAATTTCGACTGATTCTGTGATCATTACATTATATGGTTGACATTGAACACCATACTCTGATAATACGATAGAATTCAATGGTTTCCAACCATTTTCTTTTGCTTTTTCCTTCCAATTTTCCAATCCTGTTCCAGGAGGAAGCCAACCGCGCATTCTTGCCTTTTCCATCCAATTCGTACTCGAATGTTTATGCTTCCTATGTGGTCTTTTCTCCTTTTTTGTTCTCTCTTTCTTCTTTCCTTTTGGTTTTGGAATTTTTGTATCAACATCTTTGTCTTCAGGATGATCAAATGCAAACGGATTAGGTTCTTTAGGTTTCTCATCTAATTTAGGGTCGCGAGTAACTATTTCTTCTGTAATTTCAAGAAAATGCGGACCTTGTTTCTCTAATTCTTTGAAAAATTCTTGATGAACATCATATCCAAAGGCAATTGTAATCAATACCTTTCCTATCACTTTCTTGTATTCGTTTTCAAAGTTTATTTCTTCATTTTTATAGTAAAATAGCAATTCTTTTTCATCAATTAATTTCTTTTCTAAAAGTGTTAAAGGAAGTATAGCAAAACCAAGGAGTTTTTCACCTGTACTTGTGATACAGTAGAGTTCGAATGTGATTGCGTATTTAGACATATCTAACGGGATGATATTTGAATAATCAATCTGATATCCACTATTAAGAACAGGGCTTGCATTCATACAAGCAACTGTTTCAGTCTGTATGATTGGTAAATCAGGATGTACGCGCATTTTAATATATACTTGATTAAAAAAATCGGTAGTTTTCTTTCGAGGAAATTTAACATTTGATAACTGATGAATCATTATAAATAATTTTGATGGTTGCTGCTTTTCTTCTTCATTTTTTGCTTTGTTTCGTTTAGGTGAAGGTAAAAAGTCATCAATTTCATGTTCTTCAGTATTTTTGAGACTTTTATTTGATTTTCGAAGAGAACTAGTAAATGTATCAAGATTTGTACTTGATCCTGAAAGAAAATCACTTGGAGCAAAGTCAGATGAAAGAAGAGAAGATGTTTTCATTCCTTGGTGAACGTTTAAAAAATAAAACTCTCAAAATTATCATCATAATATCTACTTCCACTGTGATTTATTATTAGTGTTGATTAAAATTTTCAAAAATTCAACAAAAAGTTTCATGATTTTGGGGAATTTTGATCTGATAATGAGGAAATTTTAACTGTAATCAAAAGAATACTAAATATTATATAAGCTGCATATGAATTATTATATATTAAAAGCACTCAATTCAAAGTTTGACCAATGATTAATTGATCTTGAATTTTCTTGGAATATTAGCGTTATGAACAGTACTAGATTAAAAACATCAAAAATAATAAAAACAAAAAAGTTTATTGAAGAACAGTAGCACTACAAATAATAGGGATATTTCCCTGATTAGTTTGGACAGTAAAACTAGCACGAACTTTTTCAACTTTCCTTGCCGTGAATCTAATTTTGATAGTTAAAGTCAATCCAGCTGCCAAAACACCAGGCACTGTGAGAATAGTAATATCCGGATGCGTTGGCTGTGAGAAAGAGTACTTCATTTGTTCATTCGAAGTATTCTGAATCTTCACAATTTGCAAACCAGTATCTCCAATATGCATCGTCATGAAATCGGCAGAATGAGATCCAGAAGCAGTCTGAGGTCTAGACACTTCTGTTCTATACATTCTTGTAGATGTTTGTGGGGTACTTGGGCTTGTTCTAGGTAATGGAGCAGCCATTTTAACTTTTTCTGGAGTTTTCGGAGAAGTTTGTTCGATTTTTGGAGGTTCATCGATATCAGGTTTGATTTCAGGAGTTACTAAGTCATGCATATGCATTCGAGGCTCTTGCACACGTGGTTTGATCTTGTTTGGATCTTCCGGTTTTGCGTACAAAGCTTCAGGAGAACTCCAGAAGTCAAATTTGTCACTTTTACTTGGTTTTTCTGTGAATTTTTGCATTTGAGCAATCAAAATTGCAGGAGAAGGAGTTTCAGGGGGCTGAGGCAATGGCTCTTCAGGTTCAGGTTCTGGTGGGTTTATCTCCAAGAGGAATCTCTCCTCTCTTTGTGTGATGATCTGTTCCATTAATGTGGACATTCTCTTCCTGTTTTCCGTGAAAATCATCCTCTCTGTTTCGGCGGAATCCAAAATATCGGCTGGATCTTCGATAACTTCATTTTTCTTTGGTTTACGTGAAGATGACGGTTTTTGCGGTTTCGGTTTTGGAATTGTCAAAGTCTTTAATATTCCAAACCTTGCTTGTTTATCAGGGATGTTCGTCTTGTAGAAGAACAATGGTATTTTATCTTTTTTATGCAAAGAAACAACATCCAATGATAAATCCGCAGAAATTTTCTCTTCTTCTTCGTAAACTCTGAAATTGTTTTCTTCTCCCAAAGGAATCTGTGATTTATGGATGAATTCAGTGGCAGAGAAATCAGGTCTTACTGCGAAGAATCTTGGACAGAACATCTTATGCAAATCTAACAATCTCTGGTCGTTTTGGACATCTTTAAATGGAACAATGTTTCCCCAAAGTGTCGAAACAACTTCGAGTTTTTTGTTGACAGGTTCTTCAGGGGAAGGAACGAAACCGAATCTTTCCAAGCCTTCAGAACTTGTATAAAGTATTTCATCACCGCATTTGGCTTGTACTACATCATTTGCAATGTTTTCAACTGTTTCTCCGCACTTGATATTTACAGAACCTTGATTTAATGTTGCTGTAAATTTTTCTGAACATCCTGTGAAACTATTCTTACTTGCAGAGAAATTAATACCTTGTACAGAGAAAGAAAATCCTTCATTCTTTACAGTGATATCAGGGAAACCTGGTAATTGATAATAATTCTGGTTCTTTGAAAATCTCAATATAAAATCAGTTGAAAACGTGACAACAATTGTTCCATCATCATGTTCTTCTACATCCAAGTTATCTCTTCTTACGTATTTCTTAATTTTCGTGTAGTAATTGTAGATTTCTTGTATTCTATCATTATTACACACGAGTTTCTGTCCGTTCTTATACACATAAGTCATTCCATTCTTTTCTGTCCACAACCAACCATCTTCTGTTTGTTTTCCAATTGTTCCCTGTGGAGTAACAACATATTTCGTGTTCTCGTAATTAAAAACAATTTCTCCTTTGTTGTTTATCAAAATGTTTGGTTTGTTTATCATCGATAAAACGACTTTTTCTTCTGTCATTCTGATGGAATAATTGTCCATGAAAACAGTCATTTCGTTTGAAGGACCAAACATCATTTTTAGTTCGCCATCGTAAACATTTGTTGTTTTACAGTCAGTTGTTGCAGACAAATCTTGGTTGAAATAAGTGTTGACAACAAATGAAGGCTGACTGTAATAAATGTCTCTGTTTACAACAACTTTCAAGCCTTTAATGAATAAATAAGGTGTAGACAATGAAATGTTTTCAGAATGAGAACAAGGTAACAAATAAATTGGATCTTTTTCATTGGAAAGCCTTTGTTGGATTGGTGGCAATATAGAATTGATCTTATTGTGTCTTATTTGATCAGCAATCTTCTCAGAAACACGTGATTTCTTTTCTTGGACTTCTTTCTGTTCAAAAACATTCTCTAACCATTCGGAAATTCCATCAATAACCATTGGACAATATAATTCTTTCTTAGTAAAGCCAATTTGTTTGGAAACAGGAGCCATGGTCAATATCCATAATATTCCAACACTTTCTTCCAAAGTAGAAGTAACAATTAAAGAATTTTGTATTGCTTCTTCAAGAAAATCCATGCAATCAACGTGTTCTTTGAAATAACACCAGTTCTGCCAATCATAAAATGCAGAAGGAAGGCCAAGCATGTACTGCTTGTTAGCTTTAACAGCTAATGTCTCTAAATGATGGCCGGCCGCACAATAATACTGATCTTGGTCTTGGTAAAATTTGAAAACAGCTCTTTCTGCAAGACCACGGTCTTCTATTGGTTCCCAGTTGATCAAACTGTAGACAGTATCGAAGATTGATGGTATAGATGGGTATGTAACTATTGGATTTGTGAAATCTTCGTCGTCATCTCGTTTTGGATTCGCAACAAACTGTCTGGAGATGTCTTTAAGCAGATTTTTGAACATATTGTTGTAGGGATCGGCAGGTGTGGTAGTTGAGATAACAGGAGGAGGGTCATTTTGGCCATTATTGAAAATATAATAATATATAGCGTCGTAAATGTTTCCTGGGCTCATTTTAAGGAAGTATTTGAATTTCTCGAGGTTAAGATTTAATTGTGCTGGTGGAATAAACTTGAAAACTCTGTTTTCGAACGTTTCATGAAATTGATTTCTTCCGCGAATGATTTTTCCGATTTCTTTTTGTAAAACTTCGAATGCTTCTTCATGTGTATCTCCGGTAATCAATGAATCAAATACTAAATCTGTTTTTGCGTTTGGTTTTAATTGAGCCCAACGTAATGGTGGAAAAACACCAACATTAACAGTAGAATCCATATCAGCACCTTCTATTAATGATCTTTTCGCTGTTGCACGTGCAGATTTATCATTACTCTTGTGATGTACCATTGCTTCTGATAATTGTGAAGTAATAACTTGAGATCTCAAAGCAATGAAGGCTCCAATGTCTATTCCTGACTCTTCAAGTGCTTTGAGCTGTAATGGCGTATATGGAAAGCTGATAATGCAAAAAACGACTTCGATTTGGCCACCAAATAGAATTTGTTGCTCAGATGTATGCTTACTTTTCTTTGGATCCTTTCCTTTAGCCTTTTCTTGTTGTGCAATGTGACGCTTCTTACTATCTATGAGTTTTGAAATTTCTGCATCAATTTTCGATTTAATTCCTCGCGCAATAGTAATGGAATTGTCTGGTTTTGGCTTTTTCTCTCCTCTAGCATCAGATCTTGATGATCTTCCGCCAGTTGGATCGATAAAATCTGTTGCATTAATTACAATTAAGTCTTTTTTGTAGTTTGTTTTGAGAAAATCGCTGAATGTTAGTATGTCGAAGTTAGGGTGGACAATATCAAGGGAAATAATGAAAGATGATATGGTCACATCGCTAGACATCTAAAATTTTCTAACGTCCCTAATTTTTTTCAACTCATTTCTCTGATTGATAGTTTTGAACTGAACAATGACATGTATAGACTACTAGAGGAGTCATACTTGATTAAATACCATATAAATCAAGGAAATCAATCATTTTTGATCAAAATTTATTTGATCGCATGATATTTCTTGATCACAAACAAACAGGGTGCTACCACTAACCGATATGCAACTTATTTCGTCTCTTAGAATACAATCAACTCATTGGTGAAATTCTCTATTTGATATATTCAATATGATTTCAAGGCATTATTTTAATGCAATTCAATACAACTTCATATGCATCAAAGGGAAATAGACGAAAAATTGATATCCATTTTTGCCATTGTTTTTTTTGTCACTTTTGTATAAAAAGTTAGGATTTCTCGACAAGGCGAGGCATTAATTTCAGAATAATTTCTTAGCATTAACGATATCACTACTCATAATTAGTTAATTTTTATAGAATGAAATGTGATGAAATTGTTTTTTAGCATCAAAATATTTCGAATTCATAAAAATTGGAGATTATTTTCAGTTACCTATCAAGCAATTACAAGTTTTGGATCTATACAATTCAATCCTTCAGCTGTCAGCCATTTAATACAAATAATTTTTTCAAGTGACAATCTTAATGAACAGAAGCCGAATCTACAGTTATTGAAGCTACACTACTATCATACACCAAACGCTTCGTATTTATCCGGATTTAAGTAAAGAAAATAGATATGTGAAAATTTCAGCCATTACTAAACAGTACAGAGCTATAATTTAACAAATCTCATCTAATACATCATAACATCTCTTGCTTTAATACAAATTATTGCATATTTAGAAAAATTTACATTTTGTTTCACAGAATTTTGAGCAAATGAACCCTCACAGCGTATTTGCACTAAAAATAGAATATATTTTAATATTCCAAACGAATATGAAAAAAGATGGATGAATACGTCACTTTTTGTTCGTTACCAAATCCAATTCTCGAATGCAAAAACAAGAAGAGGAGAAGCCCATTGCCGAATCATTCGAAGCAGAGCTTGCTTCCATCAAAGAGAAAGGAAAGGATCTTAAAGGCACAGAACGTGACTTTTACACGTCAATTGTACAACGTCTTGAAAATAATGACCAAGTTCTTCAAGATCTCCGTAAGGAGCATACTCAACTCCGTGCAGAGCTTGCGGATCTTACCAAAGAAAAGAGCAAACGCACAAGAGATCCAGATCTCGCTCAAGATATCAAGAGAACTACACATTCAGTCAATCTTTTAAAGAAACAAATCGATAAGTTCAAACACCAAAAGCAAGAAGCTATTAATCGTCAAGCAGAACTTCAAGTTCAGTATCAAAATTTAACAGGAGGCGAAGGACCAAAGGATACAACAGCAGAGCGTCTTGTTTCACTCAAGAACAAGCTAGATAACGCCGAAATTAAGAACCAAGAGACTCTTCATTTGAAGAAAGTTTATGATTCGATTGTTTACCAGCTTCAGCGCCAGAAGATGCACTGGAACAGACTTATCGAAGAGCAGAAGAAGGAAATCGAACAAAAGAAGCGCGATCTTGCAGATCTCGAGCTAATTGCAAGAGATTCAATTCATTCCAAGAACGCAGCCGAAATGGAGTACTCTCGCTTACAAGCAAAGTATGCTGCCAACAGAGAGAAGCGTAACCAGCAAATACAAGCCAAAACCGCACAAGTTCAGCAACATATGCATGTTCCTATCTCAGAAGACAGCGGAAACGACTCCCGTCCAAAAGGAAACCAATCTCTCAACTCTCAGCCATCAGCCGTTCGTAATCGTAACAACCGTGCTCAAAGAGAGAAGAAAGATGAAAAATTCAGATCTGTTAGTGCGAAATACGACGAAATCCGTGAATATTTCGGCACAAACGATCCAGATGAGATCCACAAGTTCTTCGAGGATAGAAAGAAGAACGCAGAAACCCTTAGAAAACAAATTGAAGATCTCAAAGCGGCAAATGCAGAGTTAGAGAAAGAAGTCGCCCAAAGAAAGTCAGCTCTTGATGAAGCTGAGTACGCTTCCCATAAAGGAGTTGGCGGAAACAGATTATTAACTGAAGCCAAGAAGATCTTGATCAAATCCAAGGAAGAATTGAATGAAAGTGAAAAAGAAATGTCCGCACAACAGAATTTCCGCGAAAATGTCGAAAGCGGCATTTATCATTTGGCGGATGAAATGCAAATTGTTCAGAAAGAGCCATTGAAGGTCAATAACACACAAGAATGTCTCGATTGGATTATCCAAACAATTACAAAGGTTAAAGCTTCTCTTGAAGATGAAGATTTCGATTTCATGACAATTTGCAACGCACAAGTCGTTGCACAGAAGATCCAGGCAGAGAACAACTTCGATATCAGAGAAACAGAGTCATCAAAGAGACAACCAAAGGCAAGACCAGGAGAAATGTTACGTGGAAGACAACAAAAAGTCGACAAAGGAGAATTCGTTAGCCGTGTAATGGATAGAAACGCAATCAAGGCATTGGCTCAAAGAACTGCTCAAGCTAAGGCAGAAGCTGCTGCCAAGGCTCGTAAGCAGTAAAATTTTTATATATATTATTATTTTTATTTTATTGTCAACAAAAAATATAAATTGGTTTTTAATAATTTTATATTTTCATCATGAGCGAGAAAATATAAAGAATTCATCATTGATTTTTAAATATTTTCACAAACTTCGGCCACATTTTTTACCGAGTTTCTCTGAATTTTGCTGGCGAGTGAACGTAATGGAGATTAGCATTTATATTGTGTTAATTCTAGTGGCGCTTCGAAAGTCATTCTATAAGCCCATAAACACTATTACTATACTTCATATGTCAAAAATAATGGGAAATTTTGGTCGATAATCTTTGTTGCTAGCGATATTTTTTCCCTCATTAATTATAGAACTAACTATGATGTGGAAATATGAGATTATGAAGATTTAGAAATGTTTACTAAAATTTGCAAAAAAAGAGAAAGTTTATTTACTTCAGATATGGTCGAAAACTAGACAGGACTATGCGCCAATGATTTCCGTGTTCCAATGTTGGCTGTAGAAAAGAACATGGAGACATTATTGAAACATGTTTCACATTCTTACTCTAATTAATATTTTTTTGTCAAAAAAGTAAATTTTTTTTATACATTTCAATAATTTATGAAGAACAGATTTCTTGGCAAAATTTCAAGAAAAATATACCAAAGATATAAAAGTAATGATACTGGAGCTTTGAGATTCAAAGGAGTTTATAAGAATATGTAGATGACTACAATTTTGAGAAAACTTTCAATATATTGGTATTGTTTAAGTGCTTCTATCTCCCAATCAAAAATGATCTGTAGGAAATTTACTAGAGAAACAAGTATCCATATGGATTTATGAATGTAATTAGTATTTTTATACTGAATGAAAACAAATCTATCACCGTGAAAAAAAAATTTAGAGACTACAAAAATCATTATCTAGATAATATATCGAGAACAAACAATGAAGTTTCATCCATTTATTCCTTTATTCCTAATACTTTCAATACATTAAAAAGGCTTTATCGACTGATGGTTGATTCATCTGAACATTAAATCTCTTTGCTGTCCTGGTCAGAGATCAAATCTTGATCTTGTTAGCTGTTAAAAAATTAATTTATTTATTTCCTGTTACGTTATTTCAATTATTTATGGTGAATTCTAGAAATAGAATTTATGCTCATATATTATATTTAGAATGCTTATATTTTGATTATGATTTCTCTTCTTTCTCTCATTAGAGATAAATGATAGTTGAATTATATTTTATTGAAATATGAGATTATGAAGGTTTTTTAAAGTTTACTAAAGAAATTATGATGAGAGGAAGTTTATGATCTATATCAATACTTTTATTGATAATTGCAAATTCTGCTTGGCAATTACCAGTTGAAAGATGAATCAATTTGTTAGTAAATAGTCTTCTTGGATGAGTAGGCCTTGTAGTATCTATATAAAATGTTGTTGAAATCGAATTGTCAATGTAACAACTATCAACTGTTGTTTGTTCATTTGGATTAGCATTATAGTTAAATATCAAATATGAACCAAAAGGAGCAGTGTTGTTAATAAATGAACAACTTTTTACAGTAAGAGAATTATCTGAATGGCAAATAATTCCATTAAATGATTTTGTTAAGGCTCCGGTCCCCTCTCAATTTTAAAAGTTTTAATATCTCCACCAATATGAGTTTTTGATACTTTTATTTTAGTATATAATATCATTATGTAATACACTATAGTATTGTATATTTAAACTGAGTATTACTATTATAGTTCATCTTATCTGAGAATTCGGTATTTTGACAAATTTCAACTTTGACTGGTGAAACTATTTATAATCAAAAAAGCCCACGACATTTTATAGCATATTAGTGATACATTATATTGTTATTAGTAAACTTGATTTTCAATCTCTTCTAGATGAGTTATTTGTTTTTTTGAAAAAATCTGACAAATCACTTTTTGACAGAATCTAGATTTTTGATTTGTGAAAGTTTTAATAATATGATAAGGTTTATATATGCTATCATAATATAATAAAATCATATAATATTACATTATCACTATATATGTCGAATATTAAAAAATTGTATATTAACATTTTTTGTCATATCTTGATAATAAAGAAAAAACTCTCAGTTCCCCTTCGACAAATTGTTAGAATGCAACTAAAGTTTATTTTGATATAGTGAGTTTGCTTCTAAAAAAATATATGAAAGAAGAATTAGATTTGCAAGACCCCTATAAAAAACCATTTTTGCGTCGAGAATAACTTCATGCACGATTAATTGATATGATAATAAAAATCATATATGATAATTACTTAATATAGGCAACAATATTGTATTAATCACTTTTTGTCAAAACGGTTTTTCGATAATTGAGTATTCAATTTTCCAAAAATCCATTCAATAATTTGATTTATAATTCAACGTATAAGAAAAAACTCTCAGTTCCCCTTCGACAATTTGTAAAGAAAATTATATAGTTTCTGTCGACACTATTTGTATATTCTACCTTCTTCGGTATTTCGAAGAATTAGGTTTGCAAATTTGATATTTTTGATGTATTTTTTCAAATTGAGAGTATTTTTGACGATAGAAGTAGGTGTTTTTTGAATTACAATTTTATATTGATGTGCATGATAAAAATTTGAACTTATATTATGGTGACATAGTATAAGTCATAATGTATTAATATACAAAAGATACTATCAAAAAATTCCTTTCCATTATGTATAAACAAATCGATTTTTTAAATTAAATTTAAACCTTAAACTCAATATATTAAAAAGTAACATTATTTTAATTAGAAGTACAAAAATCCATAGTCATAGAATTATCAAATGATTGAAAATTGTTATAATTGGGCGCATTATACTCATTTATGAATTTACTATACTATATACTTTGCAAATTTAAAAATCCAAATTTTCAATTTTTAAAATATCATTATTTATCATATATCAAATAGTAAAGTTAGTATATATCATGTTTAAAACGATAATATAGTCAAATTCGAAAATTTTAAAAATAGATAATATTTAATTTTTATAAAATATTGGTATATGTGCAATATATTGGTATATTTTTACTCCTTATTAGATACTCGTCCTAACTATATGCAGCAATCATGCAGGACTGGAGCCTTAAGGTATTATTTATAATATTACATGAATCAATCAAAGAGTTATAGTAAATACTTAGAATAAATTGATTTGTTGCTAAATTATTAACAACAGTTGTATAGTTATATTTTGTTGTGTAAAAAACATTAGGACTTTTAATCCAACCAGCAGGTCCCCAAGATGCTTTGCATGATGAGAAATTTGTTGATGAAACTACGATATTACCATCTTCTGCTTCAACAGAACAAAAACGATTTTATTTATGATCAAATTTTATATATTTTTGGATCAAATCCATTTTAATAGAATTTATATACTATTCATCTATTAGTAAACACTACCGTATATTATTTTTTAAGCTATCTTATTTTTTGAACTTTTATTCAAATCTTTGGTCGCAAGAAGAATTGCATGATAAATAAAAACATTTAATCAAAGTCAATTTTATTTTTCATATTCAAATGGACTGAGTGTTAACATTTAACATTTTTTGCTAATTGTCGTCAAAAATTAGGCGTAAAGCAAAAATTGATATTTCATATGGTTTTATGATAGATAAGCATTATATTTCCACTCATTATATTCGTAAATTTTGAGGTTTATCCTTCGCTTTTAAGATCATTGAATTTGATTTTTATATAAAATAGTTATATATTAGAAAATAATATGAGTTTATGTGATATTATTTTTCAGAAGATTTCATTCTATATGCCTATGAAAAGTACTCTCAAAACTAACTTTTTCCTAATTATAATTAAATCTAGAATATTGTATTATGCTTAGTATTATTTCATTTTTCTCATTCAATTTAGAATTTACAAATGTCAAAAAATTGAGAGCCGTCACTTTTGATGAATTTCTGTTTATTACACTATAGATATGTAGCTGCACAATACCTTGTTATTTATTGATAAAAAATTCAATTTACCATTTGATTTTCGAAAGGTGGGTCTGAGACGGACCAATGTCTGATATCATGTTATAAATTTCTTATGAAAATTGAAATCATCACCTGATAAAATGATTTCATTGAGGAAATATATATGGATAATTAGGTTAAGAAGCATGTATAATAATTAGTTTAACGCAATAATTATAAATTAGAAGAATTTCAAGTTGTAAATCACTCTATAAGAAAAATTAATTTCCATACTGCTGAATCTTTGTCTTAATTTGGGATAAATCAAATCCAGTAATAGCGGCAAGTTCCTGAATTTGGTTTCCTTGACCAGCTTTCAAGAATTTTGTGTGAGGAATTGAAAATATTCCGTAATGTTGAACTAATTCCACAGATTCATCAGCATTGATCTGAAGGAAGGTAACCTTTGGATATTCAATAGCAATTGAAGGTAATGCTTCGGCATATCTCTTGCAAGGAGGGCACCAATGAGCTCCAAAAACGGTTACAACAAGTCCATTTGCTCCGCCAACAACATTACTAAGCTCGTCGAATGTTCCATTGAATAAGGAAAGATTTACAGGATGTTCCATTTGAAAAGATTTTTTGAGAAGGAGACTATTTTAGAGATTTTACGCATAATTGCAAATAAATAATTTGATAAATAAAAAGAGGGAAGCATGAGCACGTTGGTTGCCAATTTAATGTTGATTCATCTCTTATTTTTCAAAGAAATATCTTCAATAAAACGAAAATTTACAAGTTACATATCCCATATCTTTGGGGTTGAGTGCAATGGAGCTGTTGGCAATTGAAAAAAACGAAGGATCCTGTTACATAATTTGTATTTTTATAATAAACTATGAAGATAAACATAAAACAATTATATCAATCACTGGCCGGCAGCAATATCATCAAGATGCATTTCTAGATTACGCAAAATTATAGACATTTGATGCATTCGCTCTTGCAGAGATTTGCCTTCTCCATCGGTGCTAAATGATCCAGATAAACTATTTGTAGATTGCCTAGGTGAGATGCTTGTTGATTTAACTTCTGTAGACTCTGATGAAGAATCTTTAGAACTTGGTCTCCTTGCTTTAGAAATCTTTCTTTCTGGCTCAGGATCATTGGCTATCTGTCTTGATTTTTCGCGTCTAACAGGCTTGGCTGGCTCATTGACCTCATTCGATATTCTTGGTGATAAGTCCATTAGATTTACATCATTTAATTCTGATGATGAAGATTTAGAGCTTCTTCTTCTATTTTTAATCCTTTTAGCATCATGAGTAGGTTCTTTTTCAAGAACTATCTGCTTGGACTTTTCGCGGCGAGCAACCTTTTGAGCTTCAGGTACTAATTCAACTCTCTTTTTCAATATTGGTTCTGGCTGCTTAACTTGTTCAATATTTTGATTTAATTCATGTGAAATAATAGGAGTTGGTGGGTTTTGTATTGCAGCACGTCTATCTGGTAGTAATTCATTTGGTTTTAAGTTGTGCTTCATTATATATCTATCAATTCTTTCAAGAGTTTCAACGACACATTGGCGGATTGCAAATATATCATCATCACTATCAAGATCTGGTTGAACTTTCGGTGTATTCAACTCTTCATCAAGAAGGTTCTTTTCTTGAGAAGATGTATTTGATTTTTTGTTAGATTTAGGTGTTTCTAAGTCTGAAAGGCGAAGAGGATTAATAGGAGTACCTGCTACTACTCCATTCTTTTGTGTCATCGGTGTGAATTGGTTAGCTGAAGCAAGGACTGGCTGTTTTTTACCTGATTTCATAATGACATACGTTTATTAATTCGAAAAAAAGTATCGAAAACTTTACGCAGAAGCGTTGTAAAATTAAAAATTACATGTCTAAGAAAGAATAAATAGATTAACAACATATCTTACTTAAAAATATTCCACAATCAAGTTTTTCTCCAGATTTTCATTTTTCAATTTCAATTAATTTTCTTTCTCAAGCTGCTACTATATGAAAATATTAGAGCATCAGGGGTAAATATAGAATGCTCTATCACCGACTTAATATATGAATTATTATTATAGAATTGCATATTTAACAACGCATTTTATATTTATTGCCATAAATGAATCACTTTATTAATAAGTATGTTTGAGTATTCATATTCAGCTTGTGTATGTATCCAGATAATGCAGGTATTATATGGAGTATCATTTGTTTAAATGCTATTGGTATCCAATAATCAAAAAAAGCTATAAAGTAACAGTTGTTAAACAGATGGTGAAATTTTTACTAAATTTAGTAAAAATCAAAACAATTGATAAAGATGTTACAGGTACTCGACCTGTAATAGATGCTGCCAGTTAAATCTTGAACACAAAGTTCTAAAAATAGGCAGCATCTTAAAAAATTTGCAAAAAAATAAGCCACGAAGGCATAATGACACGAAGTCAATTACAGACCAATAGTATTGGAGCAGGACGATGCACGTAAGGTGGTGTAATACATCTCTGCTCAACAACTTTGATCTCTGGATGAGGAATCTTAGGAATTGCTTCTTCATCGAATGAGAAGAAGTCATATTGTAATAATTGTGATGCTGATGGTCTTTTCTCAGGGTTAAGACTCAGCATTTCAAGTAAAATTGGAATAGCTTCTTGCATTTCCAATGGAATCAACTTTTCAAGAAACTGCTCGAGTGTTCTTGTATGAGAAGAAAGCATTGAAGTTATATTCCAATTCGGAAGTTGACAATAAAAATTAAATAATTTTATATCTTCATTCGAATTTGTTTCAGAATTGTTTGGCGTACCAGTCAGCTGAAATATCTTATCAATTTGTCCAATTTCGCTTCCAGCAGCAGGGAATGGTAAACCAGTAAGTAATTCATAAAAAATTACTCCAGCTGACCAAATATCAACCGAAAATGTATAATCTTTTGATCCAAGTATTAGTTCTGGGGCTCTATATGCTAAAGCACAGACTTTTGATGTTAATCTTTGATTTAAAATTTGTTTTGATAGTCCTAAATCAGCAATTTTGAGTTGCGAACCTCCTTTTAGTAATATGTTAGCTGGTTTAATGTCACGATGAGCGAAACCATTTGAGTGAAGGGTATTTAATCCTTGGAGTAACTGTTTCATCAGAGATTTGATTTGAATGAATGATAACCTGTATCTAGATGATAGTTGCTTTTGAAGATCTGTATCACAACACTCCATTGATATAAAAGTAGAATCATTTGATCGAATAGTTTCAAAATACTGAATTATATGAGAGTCTTTGATACTTTGCAATACTTTTAGTTCTCTAAAGAAGCTTACAGGCATTGATTGCTTATGATCAAATATTTTAACTGTTTTTAATGCAACTATTTTGTTATTTAATAGATCTAATGCTTTATACACACTTCCATATGCGCCTTGTCCAATATTTTCAATGATTCTGAACCGATTCTTAATGAGTGAGCATCCTGGACTATCAGAACTCATTCATAAAAATGGTGTGTCAGAAGAAATTTTAATTCAAACGAAACGATAATTGACACTTTTATGGCCGCTTGAGCTTCTTTTATCCGTCCGATTTGATGAAATCACAGACCATTTTTTATATTATCGATATGTACACGAATAGTACATTTATATAACAATGCAAATGCAAGCTTTCAAACAAAATTAATGTTAATAATCGATATTTTGCAAATTAAAAAGAATAGATTGTTAAATATTATATAGATATCAATTTATTTAAATCAAAAAACAAAATTTAATCATATTTCTTCATGAAATTATTCTGGAATTCAGTGATTCTTTCGAGGGCTTCATCGAACATCTTTCCTTCAGCAAGGAATGTTGATCTGAAGTGTGAAGTTCCTGGAACCTGTCCGAAACCAGATCCTGGGTTCATTTGGACACCAGTTTCTTCAAGTAACTTGAGACACCAGAAGAAATCAGGTGGCTGAACTTTGCGGCCAATTCTGCAGCTCTTTGCTGCTTCCAAAGCCTTGAGAGGTAACTTAAGAGATGGGAATAAGTACCATCCACCGTCAGCCTTCTTTGTAGAGATGCCTGGTAACTTGTTCAAGCACTCATAGAGTTTCTCTGACTTAACTTTGAGGTTCTCGATGTAATTGGCCTTCTGTTGGTCCCAAATTGATTTGCATTCATCAGATTCTGGTGGATGAGCCATTGTATCAAGGATAACTTGGCCAACAGCGTTTGGACAAAGTGAATATGTTGACATCTTAGAGATCTGCTCCTTGACATCGATTGGGAAATGATATAATTCCATGTATCCGCCTCTGTGGCCACATTCACCCATGAATCCCTTGGAAATTGAGTGAAGGGAGATTAATTGGACACCAGACTTAACTTGTGAAACCATCTTCTTGAAGGATATGAATGGTTTGGCTGGATTGTAAACACAGTCTTGGTAAACTTCATCAGCGATGATACAGATCTTGTTTTGATCGCAGAACTCGATGATTGTACGCATATCTTGAGCAGAAAGTACACGACCTGTTGGATTGCAAGGATTTACAATAACCATTGCACGGATATCGATTCCTTGCTTTGTAGCTTCAGTAAATGATTGCTGGAGATCGAATAAATCGATGGACCAATCGTCAGATTCTTTAAGATAGAAAGGAACAACTTTTCCGTGCCTTAAAATGGTTTCACTTGCGTAGATTGGGTATGTTGGGAATGGCATCATGATACCAACATTATCGTTATTGATAAGTAATGTCAAAAGGAAGACAATTGCATCAATTACGCCAGAAGATAAGAAAATATCATCTGGTTTTGTTGGATATCCATCTCTCTTATTGATAAATTCTGCGACATGTTGTCTAACAATGTCTATACCAGCGGATTTTGTGTAACCGCCAAATTCCAATGTCATTGAGTTAAGGATAACGTTTACGCGATCTTTAACTTCAGCAGGAATTTGTGGTAAGTCGAGTAATGATCTATCTTCAATGCAAGCAACAACTTGTCTTGTAAATGAGAGTGGTGTCTTACCAACAGAGAAAGGATTACCAATACTGCACTGAATGAGATCCTTGAATGGCATTTTTTCGCCTGATTTAATGCGTTTCATGAATTGATCAGCGATTGTGTTGAGATGTCCACGAACACCATATTGAGATTGAATCAATTGTTGATTAATTGAGTTGATGTTAATGGGACGGCGACTGCCATATGATGGGTTTTGAAGTGCAAAGTTCTTTGCAAGTGAGCTAGCGTTGCTAAGCATAAAAATACTAAAAAATCTATTTCGACCTAAGAGTTCTCAATTTATAAATTTAACTCCATTGAAAATTAAAATCTCACACAATTTTAAATTGTGTAACCGATAGGTCATACCTCAAAATTCATAATCTTTTTCCACATATAGTAATAAATTTTTAGAATAAGATTATGAGTTTTCAGAAGAATTGCTAAGGTCATCAAATAAAGTGAATAAGTAGCATACACATTATGTATAGATTGCAATTTGTCTGATTTGGATAAAATTAATCGTAGATTTCAAAACAATCATCACGAAAAAAGGGTAATCGTTCATGAGATCACCCAAATATAGTGTCCGGTAACATCCCAAAAGGTTAGGTTTATCATTGTTTTTAATGAATTACGCTAAAAAGCTCGATTCTTTTTCATTTTTTTCAGGAATAAAAATTTTTATCAAATATAAAGATTCTACAGCTTACTAATGAGGCTAAATCACACTAAAACACTAATAATTCTACGCTAGATAGCAACTTTTATATTTTATAAAAAAATTAAGAAATCAGTGAGTAATATTGGAGTTAACGACCCGGTAAATGATCGATGATTAATTTGCAATATGAAAAATATTGTCATAGGCTTCATTATCCCCAAAAGAGGATATTGACCAAAAAAAAGCCTATAACAAATTTTTGACAGGACTATCGTTTTTGTAAACTATTGAATCGTATAGCCTTTTCAGCTAATGGGTCGTCGTCCAGCTCGCTGCTACCGTTACATCGGAAACAAGCCATATCCAAAGTCCCGCTTCTGCCGTGGTGTCCCAGATCCACGTATCATCCGTTACGAAACAGGCACAAAGACAGCTCATGCCAAGGATCTTCCAATCTGCTGCCGCCTTATCCTCCTCGAGCACGAATGCGTTTCCTCTGAAGCCCTCGAAGCCTCCCGTGTCAGCTCCAACAGATACATGATGAAGACAATGGGCAAGGATGGCTACCACATCAAGATCAACCTCCACCCATTCCACGTCCTTCGTATCAACAAGATGCTTTCCACAGCTGGTGCCGATAGACTTCAGACAGGTATGAGACACGCTTTCGGTAAGCCAGAAGGCCTCGTTGCTCGTGCTAACTACAACTCCCAGATCATGACAATCCGTACAACATCTGCTGGTCTCAAGCACGCTCTCGAAGCCCTCCGCCGTGCTTCCTTCAAGTTCCCAGGCCACACACGTGTAGTTATCTCCAACAAGGTCGGTTTCACACCATACACATTCGAGCAATTCAAGGAGCTCCAGGCTAATGGCCAGATTGTCGACTGTGGCAACCACGTCAAGCGCGTCTACCGCCGTGGCCCAATCCCACGTAACTAAATCATAAAGTAAATCTAATATTTACAACTGATTACAATTATATCTTCTTTTAATGTATATCTTTTTCCGTAATTTTACATCCTTTCCTTTCATTACGGATTTCATATTTCAAAAACAGAGACACAACGCTTTAATTTTTCGATCAAATAATAGTATATGCATAGAGATAATATTCGATAGTATCAATGTCCACAAGGGCACAAATTCCTTTCAAATTGTTTTTAGAAAAGTGACAATTTTTTTTAAGAATGGATATTTTACAGCAGAAACAGAATGATTTACTTTATAATATACTCGATTGCATTTCCCAACAAAAAAGACCACCATGTTCATTCTCTGCTGCATATACTTTAGTGTTTAACTTCTCAAGATCAATTAATTTTCTAAATTTCATTACCATTGTATCTGAAGCTGTTAAAAATAATATATCTAGCATTATTTCATCAGTTATGTCAATGAACATTCGTGATTTTGAAAGATATTTGTTAATTTTTCAAAAATATAATTTTTATTACAGAAATGTAACAGCAATCTTAGGAATTTCAGAAGAATATTCAACAGTAAAGGAGTATTCAGTCCATGATATTCTCAAAACAACATTTATCAAACTAATGAAAGAGAATATTTCGATTCAAAGTTTTGTCAAAGTTTTGGATGAAGAAATCGAATTGTTTCGAGAAGAAAGAGACTATAAGCAGTATAAACAGTTAGATAAAATTAAACAGCCAGCAGTTCTCATTGACCTTGTCTATGCAAATGATTTCGATGACTTGATAATCGAATTGCAAAAATGTTGGGAAATTTTTTCGGAAAAATTTATTTCGATTTCGAATGAAGAGTTTATTAAAGATCTTTACTTCATATTGGAAAGGGAGAAATGGATGCTCCAGTACTTGTTTTCAATGAGATATCATAACATAATTATGAGAAAAATTTATGAAATAATTATTCATTCCGAAAATTTCGAAAACAGCTTGAAAGTCATGTCACAATCACTTAATAATAGGGATACTGATGTTTTTGATACAATTTACAATTCAATTAATATAATTCCTGTTTCAAACGACGCAATTGGAATGTTTAATGAAGCAGTTTCGGTTTCTTTCGAAAAGGAGAACTCAGAATTGAATGAAATGATAAAAACACTTGAATTTTATTCAAAATTATTTGATAATCTTAATCCGAAAAACGAAATCGTATATAATACTTTTATGAATGTATCGACTAATTATGTTAATAGAGATTCTTACGCTGTTTTGAATCAAGTTTCCAAACTATTGAACCAAAAAGTTACGAAAAATGAACCTTTTGATGAATTAAATGGAATTCTTTATAGAATGAGATGCAAGAGTGAGCTCGAATTATATCATTCAAGAATTGTTACAAAGAGATTATTGCCGCCTTCACTGCAAACAATTGAAAGAGAAAGTAACGTCATCAAGAAATTGCATCAAATTTCTCCTTTATTTCAATTTAGAGATTTGCAAATTATTTTGAGAGAAAGCAGAGCTTCACTTGAATTAAATGCAATGCTTGACATATCTCCTTCTCTGTTCATTCCATCTGCTGTTTGGCCGTACAAACCTCCATATTATTTGCCTGTTCATTTATCGGTTTTTGTTGATCAAATTCGGGCGAAATATCTTCAAATGTTTCCAAGAAAACAACTTGAATTTCCAATAATTTCATGGCTTGTTACTCTAAAAGACACAGTGAGAAACTCAACAATTATTGGAAATGGAATTCACGCAGAAGCTTTGATCGAAGTATCAGAAAAGAAAAAAGTTACAAAACAATCATTGCAGCCTCATATTCCTGACAATGTCTTAGTTGTTGCTCTTGAAGGATTGAGTACTAACAAAGCTCCAATCCTTGTGAAAGATGAAGAAGACAACTATACAATTGGAATTCAAAAATTACCAGGAACAATTCGCTTACAAAACTTTTCGTTTGTTGCAAATAAACAAGCAACAGATGTTCCAAAGCATGATACAATTAACTGTAAAATTACAAGAATATTGAAGGATAAAAGAGCAATGTCTATTCCAGCGTTAACAACCCAAGTGATTAACGAATTGAGTTCATTTTTCATTCCGACAGAAAGCGAAGTTAATCATTCACTTCAAACGCTTGTTGAACGAGATTTTGTCAAAATTAAAGATAATATTGCTTATTATCTTCCTTAATTACAAATATTTTGTATTAGTAAACAATATTAGCATGATCAACTACATTTGCATTAAGATCCTTATTTCGATTCCCATATTTCTTTCAATGAAAAATCACATTTATTTTTTTTTACAAAATTTCCTCATTTTGCTTTTGGTTTACATTTATTCAGAAAAAACAATAAGCAAACGCTTGATTCGATAAAAAACCGTTTATGGTTTTCAAAATATTTTCAAAAGTTGAGCCAATTGAATAGTTTACAGTTTCAAAAATATTAAATCAATTTAAATATGAAATTATATCTGCACTATACATATCTGTCTTGATTTTGTACTCTTTCTTGATTCTTTCAATCATGATATTTTTGACAAACTTTACAAAACTGAGAAATGTAAATTGCTCAAATTTTATTTATTACAAAATATGAAGCAGGGATTTAGTTCAAAAGGTTTGGTAGGAACCACTTTTAACAATAGATATCTAGCACGAAAACATCTCGGAGGCGGAAGTTTCGGTGATGTTTATGAAGCTGAAGATATCGAAACACAGACAATCGTTGCTCTGAAGTTCGAAACCGGAAATGCAACAAATCCACAATTACCCAACGAATATAAATGCTATCAAGCTTTACAAGGCAGCCCAAACATTCCAAGAGTATATGGATTATTTGATTACAAGAAATCTCAATTCCTCGTTATGGAGAGGATGGGACAATCATTAGAATCTGTTTTCAAGCGAAATGGTAAAAAATTTTCATTGAAAACCGTTATTATGATCGGTGATCAGCTTTTTCGATGCATCGAATATATCCATCGATCAGGAATTCTACACAGAGATATCAAACCTCACAATTTTTTAATTGGTCTCGGTAAAAACAAAAATCAAATTTATGCCATTGATTTTGGAGTCTCTACACGATATATTGATCCAAAAACAAAAGAACATGCTATATATTCGCCAAACAATGGATTAATTGGCACTGTTCATTACGTTTCAGTGAATACTCACCTTGGTGAAACTCAATCTCGTAGAGATGATTTAGAAAGCATTGCATATGTACTTATTCGCTTCTTAAGAGGAAGTTTACCATGGCAAAATATGAAAATTAAGGATCCAAATGAAAGAAGTGAAAAAATTTCACAAATGAAGATGCAAACTACAGCAGAACAACTCTGCTGGGGCATTCCTATAGAGTTTAAACAGATATACGAGTATATTAGAAGGCTACGTTATGATGAAACTCCGAGATATTCATTTATCCGAGCAACTCTTCAAAATTTATTCAATAAACAAGGCTTTATTAATGATGGAGTGTATGACTGGGATAATGAAGCAGCAATTCACCGTCCTTTGCCTTCTAATTTCTTATTGCGCTCAGCGAGCGCATTTATCAAAACAAACGAGCGAAAAATTAAAGCCAGAGAAGAAAAAGTCAGGTATCCTCGTGGTAGGAAGATTTTTTATAATGAAAATTAATTTATGTTTTATTTTGTTTGAATTATTATGTGTTATTTAAAATTTGTAATGAATGCATTGATGCTTATGATATTTTTATAGACTTTTGACTTTTAGTTGATCAGGAAGAGGAAAGTGAAATCAAATCTTCATATATTGAATGTGATTTCTCATATTTCAGAGATTTCACATCACTCCCCATAAATATAATAATTTTATTATACTTCATCAAATTAAAAGTAAAGGTAAATAGTTAATTTGAGATTAACCGCATTATTACATATTGTGACCCAAAACAGAAGATTCCATCAAATCAAATCCATGGCATACACAACTCACTCATAGCATACTCTTTCATGATTAAATATTATTTTTATCTTTTTTATTCTTTGCTATTTAACTTTCACTTTATCGTTTTTATTAACCTCTTGTAGCATTACTATGCAGTGGAAATACTAACAATGTTCAAAATTAACCCTGATATTCTCTTCACAAAACATGCTTTACAAGAATACGTCGGTTATCCGATGTATTCTCAATATTATGATTAGAACAAGAAAGAGTACCTATCTACAGTAATAGCCATAATTTTGTTCCGTTTTTTTCACAGATCTGATCCAAAGAAAAAAACGATGGATTTGGCAGTTAAAATTTCAAACATTCAATTTTTTTTTCTCATTTGAATGCTTACCTCCCTTTGTATGTCAAATCTAGGTCCTCATAGAGAAGGATTTCGTGGATTACCAAATGCAGATGATGTGTATGCATATACAACAACAGGCGATCAAAGCAAACTTTTCGAACCATCTGTAATTTCATTTAATAAGGTTTCTGGCAATAATCCAACTGTTGTCATCAATCCAGACTCAAAGTTCCAAACAATCGATGGATTTGGAGCTGCTATTACAGGTTCTACAGCATATAACTTAAATCAAATGACTCAAGAAGCAAGAGACAAGTTCCTTAAAGATACATTCGATCCAGACACAGGTATGGGTTATTCTTTCATTCGTATTTCTATCGGCTGCTCAGACTTTTCTCTCAAAGATTTCACAGATTGTGATAAAGAAGGAATTGACAATTTCGCACTTGATTCCGAAGATACAGACCTTATCATCCCAATTATACAGCAAATTCTCAAGATTAACCCTTCTGTTAAAATCATTGCAACTCCATGGACTCCTCCTATTTGGATGAAGGTTTCAGACTTGTTTACCCTTAGAAGACATAATTCCTTCATTTCTGGCTACCTTGATCCAAGACTTTACCAAGAATATGCTACTTATTTTGTCAAATACGTCCAAGCAATGGCCAAATACAATTTACACATCTACGCCATCACAGTACAAAATGAGCCACTTAATAAAGGCAACTCCGCTTCTTGTTTCATGGGCTACAAGCAACAAAGAGATTTTATTAAGACAGCTCTTGGTCCACAGTTCGCTGCAAACAACATTTCGACAAAGATTATTATTTACGACCACAATTATAACTACGATAACATTATTACTCAACAACATTATCCAGTTCACATTTACGATGACGCCGAGGCTAATAAATACATTGATGGTGCTGCTTATCATGCTTATGGTGGTTCCAACACAGAAATGGACTATGTTACTAGCAAATATCCAAATAAGAATTTATATTTCACAGAAATGTCAATTGGCGAATGGAATTACGATTTCCAGGGTGACTTGATGTGGAATACACGTGAGATCGGTATCGGAACCCTTAACAAAGGCAGCAAATGTGCAATTATGTGGAATTTGCTTCTTGATACAAACCATGGACCATATCGTCCAAAGGGATGCTCCAATTGCTATGGAGCAGTTGATGTTAAAGTTCCTGGCTACTCAGAACTCATTTACAGGTCTCATTACTATGATATGGCACATCTTTCCAAAGTTATTAAGCCAGACTCAATCAGACTTGGAACAACTGTCTCAGGAAGCTCAAATGTCTATGCAACATCAGCTATTAACACAAATGGATACATTGGCGCTGTTTTACTTAATGATCAGGACCAAGACGTCACAGTTTCAGTCCAATGTGGCTCCCATGCATTTGATGTCCCAATGCCAAAGAGATCTGTTGTTTCCGTCATTTGGAAACAATAAATGAAAAAATTAATTTCACATTTTAATAAATAGTTTAAAACATATATTGAATTTCATCATATTTCTTCTGAACATAATTCTCCAACACAGTATATTAAGGTTTGAAAGATTATATTCAATCAGAATTTTGTTTTTCCCATTTTTTGGATCTGTAACTTTGTGTAATGAATTATTACAATAATTTCAATATATTACCAGAAGATAGATAGTAATTTTGTCTTATCCAAAATTATAATCCCTATTAGTCATGAATTCAATGGAAATTATTCTGTTTAAAGCTTACATGAGGTTAAAGTATCTTCCGATTTCTGACCATGCATCAAATATCTCATCATTCAAGTTTAATTGTACGATTTATTATGAAATCAATAAGTTCAATAAAAGCACAGGCAAAACAAAATAAAAGTAATCAATCATATTAATCGAAATGTTTCTAAATTTGGAAATATTAATCCGATATTTTAAAAATCAATATTAATGAAGATAACATATTTTATTCATACAAAAACGCTATTATTTGTAGTTAACAGATCTTCCAACTTTGTTAAATCTCATTTTTGACTTCTTTGGCTTTGGAACAGCTTGTAATGCCTCTTTAAGGCTCTGAAGTTCAAAGAATGCAGTCTCGTAAAGACTTTTATAGTCTAGATTTTGACTTTTTATAACTTGATTTTTGTCAATTTGCGCTCTAAGTGATTCTATCTCTGTATCTTTCATTTCTATTTCACGATCTCTAGCATCGTTAAGTCTTTGAAGTTCTAGAACTCGATCTCGTAAATGAATTAAATTTGGCGAAGTTGCGTTTAAAGATAATTCTAAATCACTTGTATCAAGAGATTTGAGTGTGCTTCCTAATTCAATATCGTTTGTTGAATTAAAAATTGGCCTTGTTTCTATTGGAGGAGGTGGATTTTCAACGGGAGAATCATCAGAATCAGAGAGTTCGAAGGGAATTCCTGCAATAGTTGTTGTCTTCTTTGTGCTTGCAGATACAGATTGATTGATTGTTGAACGTGATGCAGTACTATCTCGAGGTCCATTAGCTGAAGGTAATCGGATTGACTCAAAAACAACCGAATCACGACCTTCGAGATCTTGTACAAGGTTATCGAATGTTTGCGGAGTTGGAGCTCGAACAAACTGATCGTTTTCCTCGTACCACATATAAAATTCCTAAAAAATTGCTAACGATTAAATTTGTCACTTTTAATAAAATTAATTTGAATGACATCTCATTATTTAGCCTTTAAATTCGATATTAGAGACACATAGAGTTGATATTTACATGGCACAATGGTGAAAAATATATGGCGCTACTCAGTACATGTAGCTCTAGTGTGGAACTCCAATAAAAGAATATTCCAAGAAATAAGGTTAATATTGATGATTTTTATATAAATTATGGGGAAAGTCATCCATCCAGGATGACGATATTTGGAATGGCTACTTTAATAATCGGTTTGTAAGTCAAGCAACTCAGCGATGCCAAAATTGTAATCTTTCAGCAGGTCAAGGTCAATATTACTTAGATGAGTGCAATTTTTTTGATGATAATAACCGAGTTATCAACTTTAATCCAATTTCCAACACTTTATTCCTACATAACCGTTGTTTTTTTAGTAACTGCACTTCAACAGAAACTGGAAGTTGCATTAACTACCAAATTGGCAGTGATAGTTCTATTGTTCAACGAAAATTCTGTTGTACAAAATGCCAAAGTTCGAAAAGTGGCCACTTTTCAAATACAAAAGTTGACAAAGATAACTTAAACTTTTTTATTGAAAGTTCCCTTTTCGATGTAGGAAAAGAAAGTTTTGGTTGTTCTATTGAAGCAGAACGTGATAATGTCGTAGTTTCATCAACAAATTTCTCATCATGCAAAGCATCTTGGGGACCTGCTGGTTGGATTAAAAATCCTTTAGAAAAATACACAACAAAATATAACTATACAACTGTTGTTAATAATTTAGCAACAAATAGTATGATTCTAGATATTTGGTATAATGCGTTGATTGATTCATGTAATTTTATAAATAATACAAAAACAGAATCAAATTTAGGAATTATTTACCATTGGTATAATTCTCTTACTGTAAAAAGTTGTTCTTTTATTAACAACACTGTTCCTCAAGGTTCATATTTGATATATAACTATTATGATGAACAAACAACAGTTGATAGTTGTTACATTGACAATTCGATTTCAAATACATATAATAGTAGTATAGTACCTACTAATACAAGAGAACTATTTATTAACAATTTGATTCATCTTTCAACAGGTAATTGCCAAGCAGAATTTGCAATTGTCAATAAAAGTATTTCTGAAGTTAATGAACTTTCTCTTTTTTTACAAACATTAGTAAACATTACATTCTTCTCATAATGTTGAGATGAATCAAAAAAAAAGATTAGATTTAAGATATTTAAATTACAATGTTAACATTCATGGTTAAGGAGTTTGGGACATGAAAATTCAGTTTCTGTTCGATGCTGTTTGGCTAATATATTTGAAATTTGAGAGATTTGTTAGATTCAAAAAATATGAGTTCAAAACATGAGTTAATGACTATTTATATGTATCATTAATGTTGTGTGTAGTTTGGCAATATAAATAATGCATGATATTTAAGAGATGAAGCATGAAAGTTTCAACTCACAGTTAACTTTTCGAACATCATACGTCGGCATGATATATAAGAGCTGAATATTGTCTTTGTTCATCAGTTTATCCAAATTAATAATATGATACTTCTACATATATATTTAATGTTACCAACATAAAATTTTGGGCCCTTTTCATAGTTCATGACTCATATAGGAAAGCATAGACAAATCACAGCATAATTTTATTATATATCAGATATATAATTAAATTAGGCTATTTATTCACGTTTAAACTATAGTTTTGGTTTCGTGATTCATATTAGATTCTTGAAAAATATCAGTGACCAACCAGACTCTTTCCCACAGATATTTTCAGGGTATTCTTAATCACATTACTTACAAATTCATTAAAATACGGAACTCAAAAAATTGTAAGTGAAGAATATTCTAATGGACTTTTAGATTATGTATTCCTCTAAAGTTCTTCATAAATTATTGAAATGTATAAAAAAATTTACTTTTTAGACAAAAAAAATATTAATTAGAGTAAGAATGTGAAACATGTTTCAATAATGTCTCCACGTTCTTTTCTACAGCCAACATTGGAACACGGAAATCATTGGCGCATAGTCCTGTCTGGTTTTCGACCATATCTGTGAGCTGATCAACGAATTTTTCGACATCTCTTTGGACGTACTCAAAAACGGAGAGTTCAGGAGATCCATACTTCATGTAGTACGCGTGTGGGTATGACCAAGTAAGAATTGTTCGAGCAAAGTCGATTTGGTGAAATAATTTTTTGAGGAGTTTGAGAGCTTCCCTTTCTTCGATCGGATACTGTGCGTGCGTAGTCAGCAGCTTTAGTAATCGAGTTTGGTATTCGCCTCTCATCTTTTCTTCGGTTTCTCGAGATTTGATGTGGTTTGAAAATCTTTCGAAGTAGTGCGCGAGTCTGTCGACGTTATCTGTAATATGTTCGTTCTTTCCTTGGTTCTTTTCTGGCTTATATCTGTTGCAATTATAGAAATCGCCACCATGGGAAGCCCATTCGTGGCCACAGATCCAGCAGAATTCATAGTGGCAGCTGTAGCATGTCATGTGGTTGCAGCCACCGTTTTTCTCGATTCTTGCATGGCATTTCGGACAAAGTTTGGTATTTTGATGAACCCACTCGGCAGTAATCTTGTCCGCATTGGCTATGTTGAGCCACTTCTCTTTGTTTTCGCATGTGATCGGGTCATGTGCAATTTCGCCACATCTCCAGCACATACGAGCACCGCATTCGCATTCTGCAACAAGGCAGTAGCCAATGGCGTTGGATGTAAGTATTTTTTGGCATCGAGGGTTAATACAGTGCTTAAGATTTGGATTTTCCGAAATTTGCGATTCAATGAGGAAGTTAGTGTATGATTCGTATACGTCTTCACCCATTAGGTTCTTAACGTCACGTCTAGTAATAGGAGCGCTGCAATTGCACTCCATACAAATAATATTTGTATTTCCTCTGTCAACTTGGTTAGAAATATGCATTTTCCAACACTCAAGGCAGAACTGATGACCGCAATGCAACGAGTAAAGCTCAACGTCTTCTTCGCAGCAATTAACACAATCTCCACGGCCACAGAGACGGAGACCAAGGTTTTCCTTGACTTGGCTCGATTTGGCTGAAATTTTTGATAAAGTACTGTCAGGATTTGCGAGATAATTGTTAATAGCTTTTGTAACGTCCCAATCGCTGTATTTGAGGATAAAGTAGGCAAAATCTTCATTTACGACGAGAGTTTCCGCGACCTTCTTGACCTTGAAGTCTTGTTCTTTGATGAAATAATCAATATCGAGGCAAGGAGGCAAAACATAGACTTCTTCCTTCTTGGAACTAGTAAAATCGATATCCATTGAGTCATCATCTTCATCCTCTTCTTCGAGAACTTCTACTTGATTTTCAGATTCAAAAATTAAAGCCATTAATTGTTCGCCATTTTCGTCATATTTCTGCACTGATATGATTTCTTGGCGAAGATCAAGATCAAACTTTAATAGATATTCAATAAGAAAGTCATATTGCTCTTTATCAATTTCTCCGGTTTCTGCTAACTGTTCTGTGCAATTTTGAATCCACTCGGCTATATCTGGCTTAGTATCCAGCAGTCCTCTGACTCTTGCAGCTAAATCAACTTCGTATTCGTATTGTTTATCATTCATTGCAAAAATTTAGTTGAAAATTTTTTATTGGCAAAATTACTGAGGAAAAATTTTTCCATTGTGCAAATTTCAAAATTAAATTCAGCACAATGTTCATTCTCATTTGTATGGAAGGCAATAAGTGAAATAAAATTTTTTCATAGATTTTTTTTTGTGAATTTGACGAATTTTCTTTTTAAAGTAATAAATAATCACGAATAGTATTTGTGATTATTTTTAAAGTCATCATTCAAAGTTATAATCCAAAATTTAAATTTCAGAAAAGGTGACTAAAGTTTTTTCGCCTACCCCGAGCGAGTTTCTATGGGGGTCTTTTCTCACCTAATGAATTTAGTTCCTTGGCTATAGTAATGCATACAATAACACAACCGCGCGTTTTAAACTGTTACACAATGATCTACATATACAAAAGTTAATGTTCCAATAATGTTGGATTAACATTGATATAGTCAAAATAAAAAATCTAATCGACAACCCCTATTATTTTTTAATAGCAGGCAATTTACCGCTTTCAAAATGGCATCTTAGATTTCATAATTTTTGATAAAAATTAAGTGATCCGATTTTTTTAATAATCAAGGATAGGCATCTCTATGCAGTAGCTATTAATTATACAAATTACTACGAAATTTTTTCTGTAGCGTTTTGCAAAATGCAATATCTTGAATTATTTTAGTAGAATTAAATAATATAACTGAACATTATGCTCATTTTGCACTATAAAAAGCAATTTCTTCTACTATCGATAGGCTATTACTTTTTAATTAGTTGTAACGTTTTTAATTTGTAACGTCCTTTTGATATTTATTTATACAATCATTAAAAGATGTCATAATATATGGCAACAATGATTGTTATTCATATGAACAGTGAATCTCAGCTATTCTACCTATTTTTGACACGTAAAGCTAAGAAAATTACTAAGGTATCATTAATTTTGGAATGCTCATTTTTATAAAATAAATAATCAAAATAGTATAATATTATATGATGATTAATCACATCAATTTTAACAGCAATATGGGCTTGTTTTTGTTTTCATTTATGCCATGAGTGCAAAGATTATCTCTGTACTGAAGCTATTGCGTAAATAAACAAAAAAATTATAAATCATCTATAATTTTCCATATTTAATGATTTATTAATAATATTTTCCCAAAAATAAGATTTAATCGTGACATTGAATGGTAATTCAGAAACGGAAAAGCATATTGAGATACAGTGTTCCTTCTATACCTCAAAATTAAAAACCAGAGAGGATTTTCACGGAAAAATCAAACAATTTTCATCTATTAACAGGTTTTTTAAAAAATTATGTGATGGCTCAGACTTCATATCACTATGTTTTGGCACCAATTTACTAAATTGTCACTGGAATCAGATACCTCTCAGTTTGGCGAGAGTGATCTTATACCTAAAATAAATTGAAAGTTCTCACAATTATATAGTATATTGGTTAGAACTGATATCTTAATTATTTCGGATTAAAGGAAGCAGTTCGACTTGAAATGCGTACTTTTTTTTTTGAAACAGAAATGTAAGTCTTACTCATCATACATATTCTTTTACAGATATTTGCATCTACTTTATAAGTTTCAAAATCTTGTTATTTTTTAAATTCCAGTCTAATATTGATTATTCAGGAGGTTTTCTGAGAAACAATCAAAACTAAAAGAAAAGTTTTGTACCAATATAATTTCATTACATTTGAATATTCAGCTGTTACAAAAATTCAATACTATATATCAAACCCGAAATAGGAAGTGTGACTTATGGATACCGATCCAAAAATTGCATGCTTACATGTAGGTAACTTGCTTCACATGCATAGTATAAGCAAAAAAAAGAATAAATATTAAAAATGTTAATAATAGGCAAAAAATATATTTTTAGAGATAAAAGCATGTCATGTTTTGCATTAAAAGAGGGAAATTTTGTTATTGCATAAATTATATATTTGTAACTAATTTTTCAAAAGAAATTTGAATTTTCGACAAATTATTTAGAATTGTACAAAAACTCGGTATACTTTATGCTGTATACACATACCATGAAGCAATGGATCCTATTCCTAGCTTTGAATAAGGTAGTAAACTGGAGTTTTGAATGAGGACATATGATTTACGAATGGCAAAACGTGACATTTAAAATCTGATCAAAATTTTTATTTAAGATAAGATAAATCTTATATTTATATATATACAATTTTTTATCTAAAAATTTTATTTGCCAAAACGGTTTTGTTTGATCAAAAGTTGATGGAGATATGAACGAACAATGAGTCTTGGTGTAATAGTTCCAACAAATCCTGAGACAATCAATGAAGATGTGAAGCAAATGTCAGAGTTTTTGCAGAATTTGGATAAAAAAAGCGGATTTTTAGCAAAAATTGATAAAGATTTGCGTAGAATTGTTATGGAAAGAGAATTTACTATTCGCCAACGTTTATATCCAAATGATAGAATGGGGAAAATACGCTTAATAAAATCATTTGTAGATGATTGGGAAAAATCGAAACGTAGTCAACAAGCCGAAAGACTAGCGGAAAATAGAAACTTGCCAGAAAAAAATGATGATAATCAACCTCATTGGAACATTAATTTTCCAGATCATATTCCAAAATATACTCAAGATATAATAATTAATATTATGGAAAATATCTGTGCAAAGGGTCCTAGAGGCTATAGATATGGCGATCACAGCGAATTGGTAGATTTGGCTTTTTTAATTCATTCTAAATCTCCTGCAGCTTATGATGTTTTATTAGAATTTTGTTTGCCTTTTCCAACACCAGCAACTTTATATAATAGATTTCATGAGGAAATAATGATGATGAAAAAATTTGTACTTCATCCAGAATTAGTTCCAGGCAGAGATGGTGAGTGGGCAATTGCAATTGACGCAATTGCTTTGCACAATTGGTCCTCTAAGGAGGAAAAAGGACCAAAAGATGAAAACGGAAAAGAAATTAAATATCTATTTATTTTTTTGGGAATGCCTTTAAAATTTGGACAGCCTAATGTTATCTTACATATAATTGAACATACTAATGGTGAATCCGGCAAAATTATAGATAAGATTAATTCGGCAATTGACGAAATTAACAAACATATCAAAGTTCGTGTTGTTATAACAGATGGCGATCCTGGCTACGATAAAAACCAGGATCGATTTATAGAATATATATCACAAGCCAAAAATTATGAAGAAATGATGAGTAGAGCGAAAGCTTACTTAACTGATCCAGATAAAATTGTTTGGATTAATGATATAATTCACATGTCAAAATTAGAAAGAACACGATTAATTGATACTACAATAAAGTTATTGGTCGATGCAAATAATATGCAATCTGTTGTGGATGTGAATAAGATTAGAGAATGTGTAGATATTGGAGATGCGTTGAATGATACAACTCCATTAGGTGCAATCAAAGATAAGTATCCAATTGCTATTTTTTCAATATCAGTTCTTTTAGAGCTTTTGAAAAAGCAATACATTAACGAGGCTTTATTCATCGCTCCACTTGCCTTATGGTATGAAGCAATTCGTAGTGAGAGTTTCGAATCAAAAACAAGACTTTGCTTAATGAAATTTGCGTTTCAAATATTTTTTAGACATTATATGGCATTTAAGGGTGCACCCGTATGTACGTTTATTTGAGAGGAGGAGGATTACCCTCTCAATTTTGAGGGATTCGTTAGTTTATTTTCTCGATGAATATGCAATAAAATTTGATTTTTACCTTATCAATATACTTCATATAATATACACATGTTCATGTAAAAACTTTTTTCCAAAATCCTCATGAATTAAGGGATTTTTGAATTTTAAGAATTTTTTTCGAATTTTTTCGAAAAAAAAATATTTTCAGAACAGCCTTAACGGCTAAGATTTAGGAACAATGTTAAGTATCAAAAAGAAAGGAGGTCTGATATAGACAACATATATCGTTGAAGGTTGAAAAAATCTCTAATATTTGAGCCCAAAATTTCAAATTTTAATTTTTTGAAAAAAGAGGCCACCCGTATGTACGTTTATTTGAGAGGAGGAGGATTATATTTTTGAAAGGGTGAAACATTATGAATATGTTAATTATATAATAATATGTATTATTATAAAAAAGAAAAAATAAAGCACGTTAAAATTTTTCTTTCTTGATTTTTTACAAAATCTACTTAGAATTATGCAAAATATGACTAAATAATTATAAATTTCAAGTTAAATTTTCATTTTGATAAATAATTTAAATTTCAAAATATCAAGTTCAGTTCGACTATGTATGTAGTAATTCCTCAATAAAGTGCCAAAACCCTATTAAAATATATGAACATTTTCAACATTTTAATGTTTTTATTTAAAAATTTGATGGAATATGAGCTTCAAACAATTATTATGTAAATAAAAATAATTAAATATATGTATTTATTCGTATTACAACCGTAGTAAGTCGATTCTTCCTTTCTTCTACTGAGATTTGAATTTGATTTCGAATTGTAAAGAGATTCAAAGGGAAAATACTAGCGGATAAAAACTACCTCCATGAAAGGGTCATAATGGAGTCAAGTTGTATTTTTTGATATTTTTTGCTTTTCGAGCCTAAATAGGTAGCCAAGATAATGCCTAAAAATAAGGTTCTAAATTCTGAAGTTTACATGATCCTCTTGTATGCACCCTTAATTTAAAATTAAATCATAAATCAGAGAGGAACCTAGTGGACACATGAATTGGCTGTAGTGAATGATGCAAAATTATCATATTATAATGCTTGATTAATGAAATTTTGAAATCAAAAAATTATTTTTCTTTTTTATATTCTAAATTAACTCAATTGGATACTATTAATAGCGCAATGTTTAAAGACCAAAAAACTCAAGAAGTATGGAAGTTTATTGCTAGGTGTGAAGATGAAATCACCAAAGAAAATATTGTTTATAAAATTCCTCTTCTTTCCTTCTCCTTCTCTTTTTACAACAACGTCGAAGATCTTCGAATTTGATTGTTGGAAAAGTATCTATTTCAGATAAAGGATGCCTTTCTCACAGTCAACATACGAGGGTCCTGGCTGAAACGTTCTCAAAAAGCCTGAGATGGTAATTCTCTGATCACTCATAGCTGGGCAGGTAGTCATTGCTGACAATACCTGTCTTTATGCATGCACGCTTTCATGTATATGGGTTTACACTATCAATTCGCAAAGTTGTTCCGAATTCTTCCAAAATGGAAGGACCCGAAACAACTTTGCTTGTTAACGATACAGACGCATTACTTTGCATTGATACTGTGCTGAGTTGTGTAGAAAGTTTGATTAAAGTTGTTTTGTTCTGGTATCTCTCATCTTCTGATGAGAGAAATCAAAGCAAAACAACTCTAATGAATTTGTTTTCACTCATTTGTATGTAGGTTTTTAGTTCGATTGGAGCTGCTTCATAATGAGATCTCTCATCAATTGATGAGGGAGATCATAACAAAGCAGCTCTAATGTATATGCTCGTATTAACCGGGTTGTAATGCGTTGTAACGTCAGCTTGTAGTTCGTTTGGGGCCACTTCACATTGAGATGAGAAGAAATGATTAAAGGACTCTGAAAGGCTTTGGCCGTTGATGTTGTAATCGCATTACTTGGAACTAGCTGGATGCTAAGCTGTGTAGAATGTTCGATTAGAGCTGTTTTGATATGATTTTTTCTCATCATAAGATTGGAGGAATCATAGCAAAACAACTCTAATGGGTTTACCATCATCTACTTGTATGTAGATGTTTGGGAAATTGTCTTGTTAATCGATTTTCGAGATGACTTTCAAATGCTATCATCAAATGACAAACAAGTCTAAGATTTCTCGACAATACATCAAATCATGATGTTTGTAAGTGCGATGAGATTAGAGTTTTTGAAGGAATGACAAGAGAAGTAGGGAAGCTCGGCATTCGCCGAGCAAATTAAAAATTAACGTATGGATTAAATTTTAAGAGGAATTCAATTTTAATTACGGGTTGTTCAAATATTGATTAATATAAATTTATTAATAAGAATAAACAATTTTTGTTTTTGAATTTATTCAATTTATAGCTTTACATATAGTTTCAAAATTGTACAACTATGATTATTTCAACAAAAAATATCTTACTTTTTCACTTCACTTTCACCCTCACTTTTTCCGTAATTCAAATTTCAACATTATGTATTTTAATTCCTTATAGTATTTTTAACATAATTAATCAAATAATAATTGGAAGTTCTGAACTCACTTTTTCCGTAATTCAAAATCAAAAATATGAATAATATATCTATTTATTATATACTAATGCTATTTTCAACTAGAAGTGAGGTACGGTAATCTTACGGATTCCCGTAACTCAATTTTACGGAAAAAGTGCAGTAAACTACTCAATTTACGGAAAAAGTGTCGTAAACTATTGATGTGGCGGTAAAATCACGGTAATTCACGGAAAGCTATATGCGAAAATTTGAAATTATACAAAATCGAGCGAAACACTTTTAAATAGGTTGTTCTCGTATTTAAAATACTATTCCCAGATTTATTGTCGTCAGAATATTTCCAAATTTTTGCCGATTTACAAAAAATGATTTACAAAGCATATTTTTTAATCTAAAAAATTCCTAAAAAAAGGAACCGGTGTGCGGAAACCTCGGTAAATTACCGCGGTTCCCGTTGGGACTGCCATAGTAAGGGAGAATAACCATTCGACCATTTGTCACGTAAACTTTTTTTAAATATTCTAATATAAGATCGCTCTTTTTACCCTGAAAAATTGCAATTCTGAAGCATTTAGCCTTTTTGTCTCCAAAGATGTACTGGTTATCATTAAAGAAGAATTTATGTTTAATTAAAATTTTTCCAATGTTTCTTTTCTCGGTAATTAATTAATTATGTTTTTTAAATTAAATATGTTTTTTCATAACTCAAGATCCTACAGAAATTTTTGGCCGCCACTTGGGGAATAGCACTTTCATATTATACCTATTCTTGTCTTGAAATTTAAAGAAAATCGGATCACAGCGTTACTTATGTTACCTTTATTTCAGATTTTTTCCAAGCTGTAAGCTTTTGATATATATTGAATATCGATTATTTAGAGGCATCAATTATTTCTGCATTGATATTGATTATAAAACTTTGAGATTTTACCAAATTCTTCGAAAGTTGATTTTGGGAGATCAAATGTATTTAAAATAATTTGTCATTTGGAATGATGCATTATCAGTTTTCAAAGATGTGATAATAATTTTTTTATAAATCAGGATATGATAACATCATTTAATTTTATTAAATTTTTGAGACATGTTTCAATAATGATACCAAGTTCTTTTCAACTCTGACCATTGCTGTGTTAAGATCACTGTAACTGATGCCTGGATTATTTTCAATTATATCTGAGAGATCATTAACAAACTTTTCAACTTTTTCCTGAACATACTCGAAAAGCTCTAGTTCATGCGAGAAAGGCTTCATGTAGTAGGCATATACAAATGACCATGCAAGCACAGTACGTGCCTTGTTCATTAGAATGAATAATTTTTTGAGAATTGCGAAAGCATCGGTTTCATTGGCAGGATTTTCTTTGTTTGTTGTAATCATTTGGTACAATCTCATCCAGCAAAAGCTTCTTTTATTATCTTCATTTGCTTTTGACTTAAAGTGATTTTTATATCTATCATAATAGTGTGTAACTCTGTTGAAATTTAAAGAATTCTTCTCGAAATCAGATGGCGCACTAGGATAACTAATACAATCATAATAGCCATGACTGCTCCATTTTTTACCACATATCCAGCAGAACTCATAATGGCATTTGTAGCATGTCATGTGGTTACATCCGCCATTTTTCTCAATTGCTGCTTTACAATTTGGACATCGCTTAGAATTTTGTTTTTCCCATCGTTCGGATAATGAGTCCTCTTGAGTGATTGAAAGCCATTTATCCTTTGTTTCGCATGTAACCGGATCATGAGCCTCTTCTCCACAGCACCAGCAAATGCGGGCACCACATTCACATTCCGCAGCAAGACATAAGCAGATCGATTTTGTTGTAAGTATTTTCTGGCAACGAGGATTGATGCAATGCTTGAGATTCGGATTTTCAGAAATCTGCGTTTCAATGAGGAATTTTGTGTATGAATTAAAAACTTTATCTCCCATAATGTTTTTGACGTCATGTCTTGTAACTGGTGCATAACATTTACATTCCATACAAATGATATTAGTATAGTTAGTATACATATCAAGGGTACGGAGGCACTGCGTTCCACCTTACCCATTATATGTGAATTTGACACTTTACGAAACCGTTAACGTATATTTTACAACACAAACGACAACACTAACTTAACCTTAAATATTTACAAAGCCACCAACCACTTCACTAACGAACTCACTAATGTAAAAAATAAACGTTCTCACTTACAAAAGTATTGCAACTCCTCCCATTGCTGTGCTTCATATAACAGCTCATAATCTTCTGACTCACTTTCTTCTTCATATAGGTCAAAATCACTGTCATAGTTTATACCTGTAAGTTTTGACAAAGCTAATGAAACACGTTTACCGTTTGTATCGTATGCTTGTATAAACTTTCCATTATGCTTGTAGTCATAAACGCTCAAACTAACTTTACCCTTTCTCCCTCGTATCTGATAGAATGTATTTTCACGAGGAACGAAGAACAAATTCTTGAACTCATGACCGTTGTAGTTTGTTATCTCAATAGTTTTCGTCATTTATATAAAAATAAAATAAAAAATAAACTTAAAAATAAAATAAAAAATAATGATATCACCACCCTCACACGTATGAAAACATAGCACAAAAATAAATTTAGGTGAAGTGGTGAGATCTCACCTCTTTTTTCACCTGTTTTTTCACCCTGTTGAATTCATTGCTTTATAACTCTCTTCCTTTCTCCAACTCTTCTAACTTCTTCTTAAGTTCAGCAATGTTGTCCTCATGAAGTTTAATCTTCCTTAATATACCTTCTCTATCTAATGGTTGCTTTATCTTTCTAAACTGAACTCTACCATCCTTCATAGTATGAATGTAAAAACCTTCTGGAATAGTTCCTGATTTAATGTATTCTACCAAAAACTTTTGTTTCATTGCTTCAGTGACTTTATTTGTCATTTCAATCAAATAAAAATTTTAATATTAAATAAAAATAACGTTATTTTTCAGTAAGGAAACGCAGGAGTTTTACGATTTATTTGAGGAGTAGGTTCTGGTTTAAATGTTGGAGTCGGTTTAGGAGTTGACTTTTGAACAGGAGTTTGTACTTCCATAGGTTCAGGAGTCATTGAAGGTTTTGCTTGTGAAGGTGTTGGAGTTTGTTTAACTTCATCTACTTCAGTATTATTTACAACATTTGCTTTATTTCTTTTCAACATTATAACTGCTCCTGCTGTAGCTAGCAAACCTAGTGGGAGACCATATCTTATATAAGGACTTGACCAAATGCTATTTTTGACAGGAGCTGGTGGAACACCTAACCTTGGTGAGACTGCTCTTTGCCATTGTGCAGCTCGTAAGAAATATTCAATAGGTGCTCCATAATCGTTTGGTAAAGTTTGTTTCATAGATGGTGAAGGTTCACGAGAGCTTGATGAAGAACTCATTTATAAGCTTTAAAAATAAACGTTCATCCTTTATTCCTCACCGTCGTCCGTAGCTAAGTTATAGTCATCTAATCTTATTATTGGGATTCCATTAGCACGCACCTGAATGGCAAAGCAACAATCCCTCATAAATCCAATAAGTGGCTTTGGTACATTTTCAGTTGCTAGTTCAATAGGTCCTTTAACAGACAATTTGTATGTTATTGGAGCAGTAGATGTTTGACCTTGCTGGAAGCAAAAGTCCACTTCTGTTGGAAAACCACATAAGAAATGTGTGTTGTCATAGCTATCCCATTTATGTTCCACACTACCATCATCCACCAATGACCTCATAACATCTTCATTAAATCCTATCATATCATTGTTTGTATTGCAGGCGTTCGCAACCATTTCATAAAATACAGGTCCATATGATTTTTCAGGTTCTGCAGGCATATTTCCATAAGCTCCCATGGAAAGCTGAAGATATTTAAACTTAGGGTTCTCAAAATTAACATAATAGTTGTCTTTCTTTCTAAATAGTGCCCAAATACTTTTAACATTAATAGGCGTATAAGCTGCTGTAAATGTTGCACTTGAACTATCTGTATTCTTTGAGAATGAACCATCCATAGGAATCCAATCCATAACTTTAACAGGAAAACATAAAGCCTCGTTTGTATAATGTTCTACAAGTTCTGTATAAATGTTAGGGTCTAAAGAGAATGACTTTGGATGAATGAAACATTCATTAAAATCCATCTTTGTTCGAAATAGTTGCTGGGTTACAGTTGTAATAGTAACTGTTCCACTAGCTTCTACTGCCTTCGTTATCATAGTGAATGGTTCATTCCATGGAACAAATTTATTTGTCGGTGGATTTGAATCTGAAGCAAATGCAACTTTAAGAGTTGGATTGAAAGCAATGATATCATTTACAGATATAGATGTGCATTGTAAGGCGTCGCTACTGAACTTTACTTTAAGCTGAATGTTTCCTGCAAAAGCTGGAATAAATCGAATAGCTTCTAATGGAAGGAATCTTCTAACAGGAATTCTTAAACGAAGCTTAAAATCAAATGATTTTCCTGCTGTAATTGGACCACTAACAATTTGTCCTGTTCTGCATGTTCCGAATGACTCCATACATCTTCATGTCGAGTCTTTGAGAAAACATCTACTTTCTTTATTTGTTCGGTAGTTTGTGAGTTTGAAGTTATATATGCTTCTTCTCTTGCGTTGTCTTGAGAATATACGATACGACCATTTGCAAGGATTTGATATCCAGCAACTGCATAGAAAGCGTCATCGAAACCAATCCAAAATCCTGGTGGGTTTGTTTTATTGGAACCTGAACCAATTTCTTTATCTGCAATAAATTGACCTTCCATTTTATACGTAATGAATGTATTGTAAAGGTCCAACATATTTTCACCAGGAGGTGAGAGATTGAATGTTACCCATGTGTTATCTTTAGCAGTTCCAGGTTGTGATGGAATCTTTGCGTCAGAATATTTTCTATTAGTGTCACCAATTTGAACTGCATTGTCTATGATATCGAAATATGAGCGAATCTGATGAATATGCTCTGCTGGAGTAAATTCGTTTAACTGTTCGTTCTGCATGTATTTACTTCGGATAAAAATATCTATTTACTTCATTATTCTCACTCTTCTTCTTGGCATTCGTGGTGGAAGTTGTTTCTTGACATTTTCAATGAACTGTACATTCTCTTTTGTCTCAACTTCTTTCACTGGCGGGTCAGGATTCTTTGACTCGGTTTGTTTTTCAATGAAATTCACGAACTTTGCAATAAGCTCTTGGTTCGTTATTGAAAGTACATCTGGCTTCTTTTCTTCTTGTTCTTTTGGTGGCTCAGTTTGAACAGAAGGTTTTATATGGGTTTCGTGGACTTCACCCTTGCCATACACCTTAATGTTGTCGCTCTCTGCATTCGCTAATGGAACCTTTCTTTTTCTTACGTATATTTTACCATCTTTACTCTGACTTACGTAATAGAAAGGATGTTGTATTCCTCTTGCGTCATTTAATATAATAGACTCTCGCTCTGATTTTGACAAGCTCATTTTACATCGGTTAAAGTTTTAATTTTGTTTTTTATCTGCAGTCAAATGACTCAGACAAGCCCTACGGACAAGACCCAAGGGGTCATAGATGTTGAAGCATTGAAGAAAGAAATTCGCGAGCAAATTTTATCCGAACTGAAGGAACAAAAACAAGAACAAAAGCCAGAGAGACCAAAGAGAAAACTTAGTGAAAAACAACTTGCTGCATTAGCTGCTGGAAGACAGAAGAACCCACGTTTGCTGGCGAAGAAAGCTAGAGAAGAAGCTGAAGCAAAAGCTAAAGAAGCTGAAGCAAAGAAAGAGTAAATGGTTTATTTTTATCCGAATTAAATGTATAGACAAATACCTTTATCTGTTGCGTTCAGTAGTGAAAACCCTGACGTCAAAATAAAGGGGAACAGAGTAACGTTTAAGTTTCCAACAGACTGGATTGTGAACATAAATGAAGAGAAGTACATTGGCATAACATCTATGTATATAACACGTGCTTTCAGAAAGGTTGACTTTATACTTCAAATCGAGATAGAAAATGACGAACAGTCTTTAAGCGCCCAAAACATTCACATATACAAATACTTTAAAGACGATACAACATTGTTGCAATGTATGATTTCATTTAATGAGATGTTCGAGAAAAAGTTCAACATTGAAGTACAAACTTTACAGCCTTTACGTGAGTTTCTTGCACAACTGAAAGAAGAAGGTAGTCCGCCACAACTTATAGACTTTCATTATGAATTTAATGAAAATGAAGATGGAACTCATGACTGTCAGTTTGTTGTATTCTCACCATTCAATGAAGTCGCTAAAGAGAAAGAAAATCCATTACGTATAAGATTTCAAATCTCTGAACCAAGTGATGATTTCAAAAATGTTTTCAATTATGATGCAATGCTTCCGAGGAAAAATGAATTTTCAAAGATTGTAACACCTGGCATTTGGGATAGAAAGCATGCTATATTATATTCAAACTTAAGTAAGGGAGTTGAAAATGAGTTCATTGGTCATACAAGAACTTCACCACTTCCTAACCCTAAATACTATAAATTAACTGGCTTCAATCGTGAGTTTTGGATAGACATGTTCTCCACTCATGACCATAACTGCCCAGTGTTCTTACCTCCAGACCATAAGGACTGTCTCTACATTGAAGCACAACTCTTAAACTCTACCATCGCAGTATTGTAAAATCTACACTAGCTTTATTTTTATCACGAATGACCTCATTGCTGACAAAAATAAATGACCTCATTCATGATCTCATTGCTGACCTCATTCATGACCTCATTCATGATCTCATTGCTGACAAAAATAAATGACCTCATTCATGATCTCATTCATGACCTCAGAACTTCAACTTACGAATAAAGCTTGTTTTAGTCGTTATTGAGAAGTTAAACTTCTCTTCAGAGCAAGGTTGACATGACTTACATAAGTCAAATCCAATCTCTTGACCGTCATGAAGTGCTTTGTAAAGTTTCATTAAACTGAACTCAGAGTCTTTGTCAAATTTTCCTTG